ATCATCATGGGACCTCCTTTGGCAGTACCAAAATATCAGAATAGGTTTTCCCCTTTTTTCTGGCAACAAACCAGGTGTTAAGATGTTGAAACACCAAACTGAAACCTCTTACATGGAATCATGTCTGCATTAACAACAATACTTGTGGTCAGAATGCAAACAAAAAACATACTCTGATAAAATATGCATTGTATTTGAAACTGATTGGTCCACACCAGAGACAGATTTCTTTTGAGCCTCATCTCAAAAGGCGTACAGCACAAAGACAATGCACCATCAGAGTAATGCGAGCTCGGGGTGAGCAGCTACATAATGGGACCTCCTTTGCCAGTACCAGAATATGAGTATTGTCAACTATAACCATAAACTATAAAATTATAAACTATAACTATTTTATTTCGTCAGGTGAGGCCCCCTGAGTGTGCAGTATTGTTCTTTTTCAGAAGCGACCTGGCCACAAACGACAGCCCAACGGAAGTGGCTTTTCATCACGTGGAACTTGACATCAGTCGCGCACTTTAAGCCGCCAGGGGTGGGCAACCTGTAGTTCCGGAGCCGCATGTGGCTCTTTAAGGACTGCTGCTTCGTGACCGTTATTTATTCAGGACCACCGCCTCGTATTCACGTTGCAGTAAGACGTTTGAATTGTTGAGTTTTTTTTTCCCATCGAATTCGAAAAACAAGTATAACCCGTAAAAACAAAGTTTTCACTATAAATCCTTTATATGCGTGGCGGCTAGAGTCCTCTCGTCCTCTGGCTTGAGGTGGCTGCCACCTATGGGTCAGATGATTGCATGGCACCATTAAGCAATTGGTAATTAAATATAATATTTTTGTCCTAAAAAGTGTAACATTTTGGAAAAAAAATTTCACGAACATTAATTGTCACGCACAACGAGTCTGTGTGGAAAATGTCAGCTCGATTGGAGCAAGCAAGCGCGCAAGTGAACTTAAAATAAAGGATTTAAAAAATGGCTCCTCTTGCTATTTGGCTTGCCGAGCCCTGCTCTAAACGCGTGATGTTCATTCTAAATGTTTGGGGGGGGGGGAGGAGAGCCCCGTAGGATCCTCAGAAAAATCCACGAGAGACACGCCAACTCAAAATAGACAGCAGGCGTCAGTATCGGGATCGAACCCACGGACCTCCTGGTATACCGGGCGAGGCATTTAACGCGACACGGTGCCATTGTTCGCCCTTCTCCTGTAGTAGCAGCAGCAGCAGCAAGCAGCAAGAAAGCGCTTCCAGTGCGACGAGGCGAAGCGGGGTGGGCGAGCTGGTGGTTACGGGTGATGCCGAGTTTACGATGATGATCTTAAGCAGCCCCCACTCCTCCTCCCCTCCAGTCCCAACCCCGAGAGTGCCGCCGGTCACAGCAGTCGGCGTCCGCCGCTCCTCTCCGCCGTGACCTGGCGGCGGCCAGAGCAGCACGGGTAGAGCAGACGCCGTCTGGAGCGAGGGGGCATCGTGTGCGTGAATGCGCAGATTCCACTTGACCCCTGCAGCCGCTGACTGGCTGGCTCGCTCGCTCGCTCGCCCACGACGTCAGCACCTGACATACCACGCATTTCATGCCGCTCGCTGACGTACGTAGTCTTAAGATCACTCTGGGTGTGTTTTTTTTTGGTTTATAGGGAGCGGTAGTGCAGCGGTTAGCGCGCTGCGCTGTGAACCCGGCGACACGAGTTCGATTCCCGCTCACGGCCAACACCAGTGACGAATATGTGAACTGGTTCTGGGCCTCCCCTAGGTCGACTCAGCCTACAATGAGCCACTGGAGAGACAAAGGTGGCTGCCCACCTACCCCCTCGTGTACCGTGCCAGCCTTCCTTCACAGGTGCTCGCGAACAGCACTTGCCCCCACTGTCTGTTAAGGCTATACCGGGGATCTTTGTATTTTGTGTTTTTGGGGTTTGTAATGCGTAACTCTCAACGCCTGGGCGATTGTTGGCACCAGCTCATCACGGGGCTGCTGCCTCCCACTGGAGCTATGCACTTTAAAATCTAGATTGAAAACGAATTTCCTTAGAACTGTTTAGTTGTCCTTCAATTAGCACGGTTGGCTACGTACGGCGCAAAATAAATGCAACATATATACACCAGAATCAGAATATGCGTTCATACTGGTGGAATCCGATGAGCTATGAAGGTTTTCTTCACAGATGTCCAGTGGCATCCATACTTCCCGCTTGCCTGTGCTTCCTCCTGCTGCCTCTTGAGGAGTCGTTCCTTGCCAACGAGAGTGAGTGAATGCTATAATTGTATTGCTGTATCATTATAAATGGATGCACGTTGTCCGACGTTTCCACGTGCTGAGAGCTTCAACCGGCCTCCTGAGATCTTAATTCTAAGTGCGTTGAGTTGTTTATCTTGCCCTGGTTGTGGGTTCTGTGTTCCACGTCCAGCACCAAACTCCGGAATAAATATTGTGAGCCTCCTGCGCTTGAGATGGATTCACAATGGGTTGTAATGAGAGACGTTGTGAAGAACACGTGCAACGCTGGTGATTATTTTTGGTGATGCATAACAGAGCTACCCATCAAACCTGGACCCATATCTAACAGAGAGAGTCACTGCCAATAAACATTTGGAAGCTCACCAGCATCGGCTAGAACAAGCCTGACTGCTCAGACACTGAATGTCGAAACCCTTCCAGAGTGCCCGTGCATTCGTGACTGCAGGGATTTAGATTCTTGGTTCTTTCGGTAAAGTCACGTAGAAGGGAAATAATAAAATAATAAAACTATCAAACAATAAAAATTCTCACGACGTTCTTGTGGATTTCACACCTGATGATGATTGCTTGTGTTGCAGTCGAAACGTCGTGAGAATTTTTTTTATTGTTTTCTATTTATATTATTTTTTCCCTTCTACGTGACTTTACCGAAAGAACCAAGAATATAGATTACAATATATTAACATCAACAACAAAAAACTTCGTCAATAGCATTGTGGCCTTAAAATAAATACAAAATATGCAACATTTCAGATAATGGTCCTTCTTCACAGCACATGCACAGAGAAGCCATAGAGCAGTGTTCTTCGCTCCTTTTCAGGGAAGGGCCAGTTTCGCCTATACGACATCATTGTGAGGGCCGCCACACTTTTGAAACCCACCGAGTTGGACAGCACGATGATAATGGGGCTGTTAAATTTCGATTTAAAGCTTTCGTGACTGCAGGGATTCATTTTCTTGGTTCTTTCGGTAAAGTCACGTTATTTTTATATTTTTTTTTATATTTTTTTTATTTTATTACTTCCCTTCTACGTGACTTTACCGAAAGAACCAAGAAAAATGGGGCTGTTTTCACCATGTGTGTATTGTCGGGGGCCACACTAAAAACCACCCCTGGCCGCCAGTCACTCACGGACCTTGCCATGAAGAACACTGAGTATAGAGCGACTAAATAAGTGTCACTTCGTATTATTTTACTGATGACACGAAGTACGACGAGTCGTGCCCCAAACGTGCCCCTCGTTCTGGTGCAACTTGCCCAGCAGGTGGCGCTATGAGGCACGCGGCACCGACTTTAGGATCGCGCCCAGCAAGGCGGTCTTAGGCAGGGCAACGTCGCTGATCGGGACGAGTGACGGTGGGCAAGACCGTAGGAAGGGAATGACAAGCAAAGTGATATAATCGTCTTGGTTCTTTCGGTAAAGTCACGTAGAAGGGAAATAATAAAATAATAAAAATTTTACATAATAAAATGCAATTCTCACGACGTTTCGGCCACAACGCAAGCAGCCGTCCTCAGGTGAAGAACAGGTCTGTCTATTTTATTATTTTATTATTTCCCTTCTACGTGACTTTACCGAAAGAACCAAGAAGATGAATCCCTGCAGTCACGAAAGCTTTAAATCGAAAAATGAAGTGATATAATGTTGAGGCAAGCAATGAGATGAGTTCACGCGTTGGATATGAATTTTGGCATCACAGGATGGTGTGGAATTATGATGGCATGGTGCGGGACGGGGGGGGGGGAGCCTTTATCCAGCAGTTGATAGCTCATGGCTAATGATGATTATGAGTATAGGCACGGTCAGTGCAGAGTTTATTTCAAGTGGAATGTGTCAACGGGACCCCCGCTTTTTTTTGTGCCCCCAATTTTACGTTTTTCTGTCACAAATTGATCTTCGTTGTGGAGAAGATAAATGGAAAAATAAGTAAAAATAAATAAGCCGACAATGTCTCCTTTACATATCCGTCTCTCCGTGTAAAAATGAAAAAAAGTATTTCCTACAGAGTCCATCAGTCGCACGGCCTTCACATCCCATCTTTTGATGAGGCACTGCATGTCAAAACCAGTTCAGAGTTTTCTTGTCTGGGACCAATGCTGCTGAAATGATGACACTCACAGAAACGCCGTACGGGTGATGGGCTGTGTAAGCAATACTGATATTTTTCACGTGTAGAGATTAATATATTGAGACATTGTATGCTTATTATTTGTTCGGACTTTGATTCTATGTGTTTCTCAGGTCCATTTTTGAGAATCTCTTGGACATGATAATTGGTAGAATTAAATTGGCTTAAAATATATATATCAGCTGTTCCTCATGTAAAAACAAACGTTTCCCTGTGACTCTCTTTACGATTAAGAATAACTATGTAATGCGTTGTCACGCTAGCACATGCACAATTAATTTTGTAGTGTGTACAATAAAAAAGGTATTACTTACAATCTGGTGTATGTACCCTTGAAATACAATAATAAAAATGATACAGCAGAAAATCTAATGCGAAGACATCCGTGTAATATCAGAAATGTACATGTGCTTGACTTCATAGTAAATGTATAGCCTTATCTACACGCAGTTTCTCAAAGACTTTGGCTTGTACCCTCCTCCAAACCCACGTCACTTTTAATTGTCCATCACCTAATCTGATGTCCTCCACATAATGGCACAAAGTTCCAGCCCAGCACAGCTGCGACCAGTTCATGGTCACACCCCCAAGTTCTCTCGGCCAGCTTCCTATAGAACCCTATTCAGCATAGCTTTTGGATACATTCTCAGATAAGTGAGCTGCCCCATTCTACCTGCGCGTGTGGCCGTCTTTCCACAACACTTTAGCATCTTTTATATGAGCTCCGGTCATAGGCTGTTGCGCACAGTTTTCCCTGACACACCGACAGAGCGATAGAGAGACAGAGGGTAAGAGAGAGAGAGACAAAGGCAGCTCCGTTTGTCTTCATCTTACACAATCGTCGAAAAAGTCTCCGTGCCAACCGCTCGGGTTTTCTGGGCTAGAACCGTGAGCAAGTCCACGGTAACTCCCTGAGAACACAGCATTTTTTTCAGTGGAGGGTGGGTGGAGGCATGGCCACCCATCAGCAAGGTTACACGCCCGACTACCCGTTCCTGGACCCACGATTCTCTCCATCGGCATCGGCGGCGGCTGCCAGCGACGCCGCGAGATCCACGGAGGAGGAGGAGGAGACGGAGGAAGACGAAGCGCCCGGAGTCAACGGCGTGGCGCGTGAGAGGCGACGGAAGGAGAGGGATCTCCTGGTGGACGAGAAGGACCACGCGGACCGCACGCAGAGGAACGGCACCCACTGCTGCAGGGACGCGCTCGGCGGCATCGTCAGGTTTTTACGCCGTGAGTCACTCTTTATGCCCTCCCCGCACCCTCCAGCAACTGATCTTTCTGATCTCTCTGTCTCTATCTCTCTCAAGGGGCCGGGTTGGGTAATCGTTCGTATTCTTAGGTTTTTTCGGTAAAGTCACGTAGGTAAAACATTAAAATTAATAAAAGTAAAATAAAATAAAAATCACGACGTTTCGGAGGCAAAACAAGCTTCCGTCTTCAGTTGGAACCGTCACAGTATATATAACGGAGTGGTAGCTCTTGCAATCTCTCATTTACTTGATACAGCTGTCGTGGCTGTGACGGTTCCACCTGAAGACGGAAGCTTGTGTTGCCTCCGAAACGTCGTGATTTTTATTTTACTTTTATTAAGTTTAATGTTTTACCTACGTGACTTTACCGAAAAAACCTAAGAATATGAATCATTGCAGTCACGAAAGCTTCAAATCTAGAAGTAATCGCTCGTGTTTAATGCGCGACAGTTCTCCGCGCGATTTTGTTCACAAACTCTCTCGGCCAGCTCGCAATGAGTGCTCGGGACGGACTGGCACCTTCTGTCGAGCTGGCAAAGGCGTGACTCTCGCGCCTTCGCGATGGCACTTTGCGCTGTGGGAATGGGGGCGAATGCTGAACGTGCTGAATTGTATTTCTTTATTTAATCCACAACCTGGCACCCTGAGCTTGATTCCCGGCCGTGGCTGACACAAGGGGAGGGTGATGAACTGAACCAGTCCCTCGGCCCTCGTTGGCCAACATGGTCAAGTATGGTCCATCGATCCACAACGATTTATAATTGCAAAAAAATTCATGTACAATGTAGTGCCTGCTGTCAAGGCCCTTGTGGATATTGTTTTGCAATTTAATAAACAGAATCTACTTCACGAAACATGAAGCCGCTTATTAAAAGAACAACTTATTATTCATATTTGATAATGTGTTGGCAGTAGTGCACAAATACCAAAACAACTGAACGCATTCACATATAATAGGTGGCATTCTGGGCAAATACATGTTCATGAATGTGGGGGGAAAAAGTGGAGGGCCCAGATAAAAATCCATGCGTCCACAGGGCGACTGTGCAGCCGTGAAGGTCGGGGTCGAACCCACGACCTCCTATATACCAGGCGAGGTAGTTAACATCTCACAGCCTTGATGCCCTTAGAGACAAAGCGAATAAGCAGACATGCTGAGCAGCCTGTAAATAGTAACAGCTTGGAATGACATTCTCAGCAGTTGACATTTACACCAAGAGTAACACATTCACAGCGTGTGACCAGTGAAAAAACTGCAACTTCACAATTCCACGGACATATTGAGTTTGAGTTGATTTGATTCGCTGACACGGACGATGCCATGTAGCCAGCTGCCCTGCTGAGAGCCGTGGTGCGTGAGCACAGCAGAGGCAACAAAAAACAAAGACGAACCCGTCATCAGTATTGCAGAGAACGAGTTGCAGCAGGGTCCTGGCAGAGTTAACAAATTCGGCGTTTAACGGTCGTAAAACGAAACACTATACGCGAATAAAAAAAAGTGCAAAACGTAATCTGAGACCAAGAGGGGGGCCAGGACAATGTGAGATGCAGGCGCAAAGTCAGATCGATATCATAGTCTAAGTGTCACTAAGACATGAAAGTCGAACAAAATGTATTTCAAAACTTTGAGTGGCACCCTCGTGTATACTGTGTTAAACGTCACTAAAAATATGTCAGCTTTTATGTATCTTTTAAAGGTTCAAACATATATGGTGTTTGCAAAACTATGTTTTACATTGCAATATTTTCATATTAAATACTATACAAAGTATCAAGAAACCACTGAACTGAGTCTCAAGACTCTTTTTCAGGAGTCCTGTATTTGGGATATTTGGCCCGATGTTGCATGAATTATGTTCGTATGTGAAATTATCATCCTATCAACGGATGCACATTGTAGATGTACACATGTTTTGTAAATATACATTTTACTTAAAATTGTCACTTGGGAAATCCTTGCTGGAGTTCTTATTCTTCCATATGGCATTTGGGAAGAATAAGATGAAGAAGAAAGCAACAGGCTCCAAAAGTATTTCTAGTTTTGTAAGACCTTACACAGAATCGGGTGTGGTAGCTGAGTGGAGTACGCTTGTTCCACCAGAACACAGCATGTCGTGCTAATTTGGCAGTGATTAGTGATGTACGCCTGATCGTCTGCACCTCAACGCATTCACAGTTTGGTGATTCCTTGATCGTTGTATGTCTGGAGGAAATGTCGCCACACCTTCTCCACATCGTGTTGGTCGGATGCGGTTGAGTGGTCCACTGGCTGCAGTGTTTAATTTTTGTTTCAAGAACATCTGAAAAGCGAGGCCAATTTTCGTCACGACATTTTCCAGCGCTTTTGCTTTGTTGGGGCGGTCGGGGCGGGGAGAAATTGACGACTCATACTGGCTTGCATTCTGACCACAGTGTGACTTGTTAATTTAGTTAAGTCACTGTGCGTCTGCCTATAACCACGAGACGTGTGCTTCAGTACCAGCATGAATACGCCATCATAACCGACTTCGCTGAAGTTGAATGGCTTACGCTGGGAAGAAGAAAAAAAAACTGCCTTCACCCGGCTTACATGGTGGTCTTATCCGTTTTCAAATCGTCCAATTCACGAAGTTAGACTTGCACTGCAAATATGAGAGAGAAAAGTAGACGTATGCATATATCACAGATGGGCATAATGCACCAATGAGTGAGTGAATTGCGCAGCTGTAGTCGACTTTGCGCTTGCAAAATCCTGACCATGCGCGTACAGCCCTGTCGAATTGAGTAAACGCGATGTGAGTCGTTGTTGGTTTGGCCAAGCTGGTCAGTTGGGGTTGGTGTAGATGGGGCGGGGGGGGTAAGAAGATTGGTTCCACAATTAATGTCACTGCACTGCAGCAAGATTGCTGATTTCGTTAAAACTGCGTTATATGTTTAGTTTGGTGTCCTTCCCCCGCACCTCCGAATTGCACGGTTGGCTATGTATGGTACGAAAGAAGTTTCTACATACGTACTTCCCACCATGTTAGCTCCGCAGCTGCCTATAACAACCTGTTGTGCACAGAGGTCATCCCATCCTCCCATCCCAGCCGCCTAGCGTTGAGGACCCCCCTTCTTAACTCTTATTGTGTGGTAATCACTGCGTTACACACATTGCAATAACTGCGAAACAATGACAAAGATCCCCCGTATGGACTCCAACAGACTGCTGGGGCAAGTGCTGTTAGCGAGCACCTATGAAGGTAGGCACGGCACACGAGGGAGTGGGTGGCCAGCACCACGCCCGGCAGCCTTTGTCTCCCTAGCGGCGAAGTTAAAACACCGCACCAGGCACCCATTTGAGGCTGAGTCGACCTAGGGGGAGGCCCAGAACCGGTTCAGATAATCGTCACCGGTGTTGGCCGTGATCGGGAATCGAACTCATGTCGCCGGGTTCGTAGCGCAGCGCGCTAACCGCTACACCGCCGCTCCACTACCACACACAACACGGCGCGATCTGCTGCGAAGTCCGGCGTTTGATTCGCAAGCTTCGTGTGATGACAGACAAAGCTGCCCGCAAAACTCAAAGAGAGCTGGACAGAACGCGAAGCTATCACGGCGCTGCGATTGAGCGGTGGGAGTTGCAGCCAAGAGGGGGGGGGGGGGGGGGGGGGGGCTCAAGAAGAATGTCCGACAGGAAAAAAATCCAATCGTGACTCATTCTGTCCAACATTTAACTTTAATTTAGAGTTTTATTTTAGCACTGACTGTGCCGTGACCCCCTCCCCCCCCCCCCCCCACCTCACCCCCTTAATGTTTGTAAGCCTCCCCCTTTCAAGCAAGGTCACGCTTCAGGATTGATCCAAGATCAAACCTGTTTGGCTTCGGAGAGCTGATGAGACCGGGGATCGAGGGGCATTGTGGGATGATTTGGTCGTGGGCAAATTATGATCCGTTGTTTTACTGTCTTGCCCCTTGCCCCTTGCCCCTGCCCAGCGGTGTACCGATGCGTACGTCACCTGATCCTGAGGTTCGGGGAGGATTGGATATTCCTCTTCATCCTCGGCATCTCCATGGCCACCATCAGCTACTGCCTGGACGTGGTCATCGGGCGATTCCAGCGAAGTGAGTAGACGCACCTGGTGCTTGCAATTGCACTGGGAGGCAGGGAGGGGAAACACGTGGATCAGAGAGCCCCCGATTAGCACGCTTGGTTACGTACGGCGCGAAAGCATTTCAATATACATACATAGTATTCTCTTATAATAACTAAACACATTATTGATCGATTATGGTTTCCACGACCTCTCTTGCAGAAGTGAGCATGTAAAGAAAATGCAACCAAAAAAATATTCACAAAAAATATATTAATCGAGATACCGCCATACCGGCACACTGACTGCAGTGGCTTGAACACTGGGTGCATAATTGACATTTGTAAAGTTGTTTACATACACAAGGCATGTCGCGATACATACATATCTGCGTTGGGCCACGCAATGATCTGGACAAATTCGTGTCGTTAAGAACCCCCCACCACTCAACGTAGCCAAACTGATTAAACTGTCTCGTGGAAGAGCATTAAACGCACCGATTAACCCCCCAAAAATCAATGATGAATCATGACATCGGCTGCGCGACCTCGGTTGTCAATTCCACATTGACCGCAAAGAACAGCAAGCGGGCTTGGGCAAGACGCTTCGCGAGGGGGGATGAGGGGATGATGGCCAATGGACGAGACGTAACAACGACATGGCAAGCCGAAGGAGGGGAGGGAACACGTCAGAGGGTTACGTCCACCTCGTAGACGGAGCGATGAGGTGAGCTGCTGTGCAGGCGCTAAATTGGTGGTCTTCATTGCCAGGCCTGCGAGCCACTGGAGGTCGGCCCCTGGTGGTCTTTAGTGCAGCCCCTGGTGGCCTTTAGTGTGGCCCCTGGTGGCCTTTAGTGTGGCCCCTGGTGACCTTTAGTGCGGCCCCTGGTGGCCTTTAGTGTGGCCCCTGGTGACCTTTAGTGTGGCCCCTAGTGGTCTTTAGTGCAGCCCCTGGTGGCCTTTAGTGTGGCCCCTGGTGGCCTTTAGTGTGGCCCCTGGTGACCTTTAGTGAGGCCCCTGGTGACCTTTAGTGTGGCCCCTAGTGGTCTTTAGTGCAGCCCCTGGTGACCTTTAGTGTGGCCCCTGGTGGCCTTTAGTGTGGCCCCTGGTGACCTTTAGTGAGGCCCCTGGTGACCTTTAGTGTGACCCCTGGTGGCCTTTAGTGCGGCCCCTGGTGGCCTTTAGTGTGGCCCCTGGTGACCTTTAGTGTGGCCCCTAGTGGTCTTTAGTGCAGCCCCTGGTGGCCTTTAGTGTGGCCCCTGGTGGCCTTTAGTGTGGCCCCTGGTGACCTTTAGTGAGGCCCCTGATGACCTTTAGTGTGGCCCCTGGTGGCCTTTAGTGCGGTCCCTGGTGACCTTTAGTGTGGCCCCTGGTGGCCTTTAGTGTGGCCCCTGGTGACCTTTAGTGTGGCCCCTGGTGACCTTTAGTGTGGCCCCTGGTGACCTTTAGTGTGGCCCCTGGTGGCCTTTAGTGCGGTCCCTGGTGACCTTTAGTGTGGCCCCTGGTGACCTTTAGTGTGGCCCCTGATGACCTTTAGTGTGGCCCCTGGTGGCCTTTAGTGCGGTCCCTGGTGACCTTTAGTGTGGCCCCTGGTGACCTTTAGTGTGGCCCCTGGTGGCCTTTAGTGTGGCCCCTGGTGACCTTTAGTGCGGCCCCTGATGACCTTTAGTGTGGCCCCTGGTGACCTTTAGTGTGGCCCCTGGTGACCTTTAGTGTGGCCCCTGGTGACCTTTAGTGTGGCCCCTGGTGGCCTTTAGTGCGGTCCCTGGTGACCTTTAGTGTGACCCCTGATGGCCTTTAGTGCGGCCCCTGGTGACCTTTAGTGCGGCCCCTGGTGGTCTTTAGTGTGGCCCCTGGTGGCCTTTAGTGCGGCCCCTGGTGGTCTTTAGTGTGGCCCCTGGTGGCCTTTAGTGCGGCCCCTGGTGGTCTTTAGTGAGGCCCCTGGTGACCTTTAGTGTGGCCCCTGGTGGCCTTTAGTGCGGCCCCTGGTGACCTTTAGTGTGGCCCCTGGTGGCCTTTAGTGCGGCCCCTGGTGGTCTTTAGTGAGGCCCCTGGTGACCTTTAGTGTGGCCCCTGGTGGCCTTTAGTGCGGCCCCTGGTGGCCTTTAGTGCGGCCCCTGGTGACCTTTAGTGAGGCCCCTGGTGGCCTTTAGTGCGGCCCCTGGTGGTCTTTAGTGAGGCCCCTGGTGACCTTTAGTGTGGCCCCTGGTGGCCTTTAGTGCGGCCCCTGGTGGCCTTTAGTGAGGCCCCTGGTGACCTTTAGTGTGGCCCCTGGTGGCCTTTAGTGTGGCCCCTGGTGGCCTTTAGTGCGGCCCCTGGTGGCCTTTAGTGAGGCCCCTGGTGGCCTTTAGTGAGGCCCCTGGTGACCTTTAGTGTGGCCCCTGGTGGCCTTTAGTGTGGCCCCTGGTGGCCTTTAGTGTGGCCCCTGGTGGCCTTTAGTGCGGCCCCTGGTGGCCTTTAGTGAGGCCCCTGGTGGCCTTTAGTGAGGCCCCTGGTGACCTTTAGTGTGGCCCCTGGTGGCCTTTAGTGTGGCCCCTGGTGGCCTTTAGTGCGGCCCCTGGTGGCCTTTAGTGAGGCCCCTGGTGGCCTTTAGTGAGGCCCCTGGTGGCCTTTAGTGCGGCCCCTGGTGGCCTTTAGTGCGGCCCCTGGTGGCCTTTAGTGCGGCCCCTGGTGGCCTTTAGTGAGGCCCCTGGTGGCCTTTAGTGAGGCCCCTGGTGGCCTTTAGTGTGGCCCCTGGTGGCCTTTAGTGTGGCCCCTGGTGACCTTTAGTGCGGCCCCTGGTGGCCTTTAGTGCGGCCCCTGGTGGCCTTTAGTGTGGCCTCTGATGGCCTTTAGTGCGGCCCCTGGTGGCCTTTAGTGCGGCCCCTGGTGGCCTTTAGTGAGGCCCCTGGTGACCTTTAGTGCGGCCCCTGGTGGTCTTTAGTACGATAGATCGATCACTGCAATTGATGAGAGCGATGCTGATGGCGACGGCTGGGAGGGGGGGGGGAGACCCCCACGGCTCACCCCGATGACGAAGAGAACTCGTTCAGGAGCCTGGCTGACGCGCGGGTCAGCTGGGGAACAGGTTTCTCCGACAGCTGCTGCGGGAAGCGGTTGCCGCTGATAAACGAACGAGGACAAAAAAAGTGGTCGGCAGTGGTTGCATCGCACTGGCCAGAGGCGTAGTTGCTGAGTCGTCAGCGTGACCCAACGACTCATCGTCGCAGTGCCGTACATGCACCACCCTGAACATGGACAGGTCAGCAACGTAACAGTATGTGACGTTCGTTCATAATATAGGAGGGTTTTTTTTGCTAGGTTAGAGCGTATAAATATATAAATGTGTCGTGAAACCTGCCACCACCCGACACAGCCAATTAGTAAGGTTTGTCACGTAAACAGAACGTGCCAATTCGTTACTAGTACAGCACATTAGTGTGTTGGAGAGCCAAGCCACGACATTTACAATCTGAGTACGACGTTTCGCCAGTAATTACAACTAGCTTCATCAGGCGACAGCCAGATTTGAGGAGAAGTCCCCCTGTTTCGTTCCTTACGTGACATTGACCGAGCCACCTGAGTTCGATTCCAGGCCACTGTTAATATCTGCAACGTGATCTCAACCGGCCCTGGGCCCCACTTTCACCAAGCAGCACTCACCAGCGTGGTGAAGTATCACCAAACAACCCTCACTGTGATAATTGGTTTTTTACCCTTCTATCTGGCAACAAAACTGAAACCTTTTTTACAAGGAGTCATGTTTACATAGACCACAATACCTGCAGTCATAATGCAAACATAAAACATAACTCTGATAATGTGCACTGTCCTTGAAGTTGATTGGTCCACTTATCATATTTTTTACTGGCAAATGAGGTTCCAATGGTGTAAACCCTCACTGTCTGATACGGCATGAGAAGGTGTGTGTGTGCGTGTGTGTGACAATGTGTGTGTGAGCGGTATAGCGGTAAGCGCGCTGCGCCACAAACCCGGCAACACGAGTTCGATTCCCGATCACGGCCAACACCAGTGACGATTATCTGAACCGGTCCCGGGCCTCCCCTAGGTCGACTCAGCCTCAAATGAGTACCTGGTGCGGTGTGTAAACATTGCCACTAGGGAGACAAAGGCGGTCGGGCGTGGTGCTGGCCACCCACCCCCTCGTGTGCCGTTCCGGCCTTCATAGGTGCTCGCTAACAGCACTTTCCCCAACAGTCTGTTAAGGCTATACGGGGGATCTTCGTCTTTGAGTGAGCGGGTGAGTGGGTGAGTGAGTGGGTGGGTGAGTAGGTGAGTGAGCGGGTGAGTGAGTGGGTGAATGAGTGGGTGAGTGAGTGGATGAGTGAGCGGGGTGATCTTTGTCTTTGTGTGTCTGTGGAAAGGTCAAACCCACCTGCCGATCGCAGCACCCGCTGCCATAGAGCTCCGCTGTGACCACGTGACCAGCGTCGTGTGCCGTGCCGTCCTTCATAGGCGCTGCTCGCTCACAGCACTTGCCCCTAACATTCTGCGAAGGGGTCTTTGTCTTATTCTTGGTTCTTTAGGTAAAGTCACGTAGAAGGGAAATAATGAAATAATAAAAATAAAACAATAAAATTCTCACGACGTTTCGATTGCAACACAAGCAATCATCGTGAGGTGTGAAAATCACAGCAAGAAAATTTGATAAAAAAAATGGCGGTTTTTTTAGCAGTGGTTTTCACACCTGATGATGATTGCTTGTGTTGCAATCGAAACGTCGTGAGAATGTTATTGTTAAATTTTTATTATTTTATTATTTCCCTTCTACGTGACTTTACCGAAAGAACCAAGACTATGAATCCCTGCAGTCACGAAAGCTTGAAATTGAAATTGTAATGTATCGTTCTCTGCTGTATATTACTTGATACTGCAAAGGTCCAATATTCTCACTGGCTCTGAGAATTGGCTGTTTCGGTATTTACACCCCTATACCTTGCGACCCAGCGCTGAAACCACCGATCCACTCCTTGCGCGCTCCGTCTCCACGGCGGTTGTTCCGTGGGGCGCGTCCTCGCGTTGCGAGCCGCGCGTGGTGCAAAGTGACTCTGAAAAATTAACCCGTAAAAACAAAGTTTTCACTCTAAATCCTTTAAATGCGTGGCGGCTAGAGTCCTCTCGTCCTCTGGCTTGAGATGGCTGCCACCTATGGGTCAGATGATTCTCTGCCAGCATTAAGGAATTGACAATTAAATATTTATTTATTTTCCCCTAAACAATGTAAAATTTTGGAAACATTTTTTCACGAAAATTAATTGTCACGCACAACGAGTCTGTGTGGAAAATGTCAGCTCGATTGGATCACGGGAAGTGGGTTAAAAAACGACCGAAAGATTTGCATGGACGTAAGCAAGCAAGCAAGCACGCAAGCAAGCAAGCAAGCGAACTTAATATAAAGGATTTAAAAATAATACTGTATCTTACATCGCGCTGCGTAAGCGACGCAACAATCACACGGATATTAAAACAACCAAAAAAATCTTTAAATCGATCTTTGTCTTTTCTTTTGCACAGTCAACCTGCATGTGTACGACTCGCTGGAGAACTACCGGGTGCTGCAGTACTTCTCGTGGGTGCTCTACCACGTCATCCTCATGGTCGGCTCCGCCGGAGTGGCTCAGCTCATCTCGCAGCAGGCGATCGGTACGCGCCCCGCGGTCTCCTCGTGCCTGTCTCTGCCGCTAGCTCGTGCACGCCGTTGATCGATGCCTCCGATGGTAGCACGGTCGGCTGCGTACGGTGCGAAAGAAGGTCAACGCAGCTGTCACTTCAACGGTTAAATGTTTAAACGAGTTCAAGTTACGCATTTTTCTGAAGGGTAGTTGGGTGATTGAAAGCCAAAGAGTTTTTGTTTTCCTTCATGCGTTCATTCATAGTAAATAAACCTGTGACGTTTCGGGCTAATGACCCCTCCTCACAGCACATAGAGAGGTGAAGGCGGAGAGCATATAAGGGGCCATCTATAAATGACTTCACGCCATTTTTGACGATTTTTGACCCCCCCCCCCCCATCGTCACACGGCGTCACAAAAAGTCAGACCCCCCTCAAATATGACGTCACAAAAGTCTGCCCCCCCCCCCCACCTAGTGCGCAGGAGGCGTGGGTTCGATCCCTACCCTGACGCCTGCTGCCTATTTGGAGTTTGCACATTCTCCCTGTGGTCGTGTGGATTTTTCTTCGGGTCCTCCGTTTTTTTTAAATCCTTTATATTAAGTTCACTTGCGTGCTTGCTTGCTTGCTTAGGCCCGTGCAAATCTTTTGGTCGTTTTTTAACCCACTTCCCGTGATCCAATCGAGCTGACATTTTGCACACAGACTCGTTGTGCGTGACAATTAATTTTCGTGAAAAAAATCCAAAATTTTACACTGTTTAGGGAATTTTTTTTTTAAATGACCAATTGCTTAATGGTGGCAGACAATCATCTGACCCATAGGTGGCAGCCATCTCAAGCCAGAGGACGAGAGGACTCTAGCCGCCACGCATATAAAGGATTTATAGTGAAAAACTTTGTTTTTACGGGTTAATTTTTTCCCTTCCAAGTTTAGAATCAACACGCGTTTAGAGTATTTGGCTGCTATATATTTCCAAATGATAAGCCACTTCGTTGAGCTATCATTTGTGGCCAGGTGGCTTCTAAATAAAAATAGCTATATAGCTCAGTGGGCCTTACCTGGTGAAAGAAAAACATAGTTTAGTTTAATAGCTGAATAGTTATTCTTGGTTCTTTCGGTAAAGTCACGTAGATGAAAGCATTTTTTTAGTTAAAAATTAAATAAAAGCAAAAAACCCACGACGTTTCGATCACAACACAAGCTGTCTTCATCAGGCGGAGTTTCTGAGTCACATCAGCAAATAACTGCTGCTCGGTTTCCCGATGCTGTGTTGGGGGGAGAGAGATTTTATCAACAGCGTGGGTTAGGGTTGCCGCCTTAGAGGTACAAACACAAAAATAAAGTAAAAAACACGAAGAGACCCGGACCGTTTTTTTTTAATGTGTAGAAAATGTCAGCTCGTCAAGCTGCGTAGATCCGAAGACATTAAAGCGTCAACGATTTGAAATAATGTAAACAGACGACAAGGCAAGTTCAATAAAAAAAGTTCCAGACGTGTCACGGAAATAATGACGATGACGACTGTGATGATGAATTATAATTAATGATGATTAACATCAACATCGCTTATAATGACGTCATCCTGCTCTATTTAAGGCCGGAAGCAGGTGGATTGCTTCACTATTCCGGCAAATCGCCTGATGAGGCTGGATGCAATTACCAGCGAAACGTTGTACTACTCAAATTGTCGATATTGTGGATTTACTCTCCAACACACCGGTGGGCCGAAGTAGTAACTAATTGGCGTTTTGTTTACGCGACAAATCCCTTACTAATTGGGCTGTGGCGGCTGGTCGGAGGGTAACGACGCATTCATACTCACGCGATCCAACCCCCAACAAGCCTTCGTCATGACTAACATTAGTCGCGAAAGCCCCTTGCCACGGTGTTAACAAACAACAAGTATAACCCGTAAAAACAAAGTTTTTCACTATAAATCCTTTATATGCATGGCGGCTAGAGTCCTCTCGTCCTCTGGCTTAAGATGGCTGCTACCTATGGGTCAGATGATTGCATTGCACCATTAAGCAATTGGTAATTAAATATAATATTTTTGTCCTAAAAAGTGTAAAATTTTGGAAAAAATGTTTCACGAACATTAATTGTCACGCACAACGAGTCTGTGTGGAAAATGTCAGCTCGATTGAATCACGGTAAGTGGGTTAAAAAACGACCGAAAGATTTGCACGGTCCTAAGCAAGCAAGCAAGTGAACTTAATATAAAGGATTTAAAAATGACCATCGCTCACGTCCGACCGTCTCGGCAGGTTCGGGTATCCCCGAGATCAAAGTGTCGCTGCGCGGTGTCGTGCTGGAGGAGTTCTTCACCCTCAAGACGATGGTGGCGAAGCTCATCGGCATCACGTGCACGCTCGCTGCGGGCAGCACCATCTTCCTGGGCAAAGTGGTGAGTGCGCCGGAGGACGCTCGCTCGAGGTGCGGCTACGTACGGCGCGAAAGAAGTTCGACGTACGATGCACTCGCGCGCGATTGCTGGCCGTTTATCTCAAGGCGGCGGTGTTCTTCACTTATTTTCAAGGCGGCGGGGGGGGGGGGGCGGTGCGGGCACTTTCGCCCATAAGACATTCAGTGTGAAGTCCGCCACGCATTTGAAGCCGTTGGGTTTGACAGCACGGTGATGGTGATGATGATGGGGGTGTTTTCGCGTCTTGTCTATTGTCGGGGGCCGCACTAGAGGCCACCAGGGGGAACGCTGCAATACAATATGCCCTCGGGGCCCGAAGGTCAGAACGGTGCTGGTCTGGCACCGATGAGATTCGGAGGTTTCAAAAAGTATCGTAAATCAGCCGTCTAGCGGTAGGTGGATTCCCTGGATGAGGTGTTTGAGCCTTTCAAAAATAATTAATGGCAGCTGCATTCATTTATGTTACTCTCGATGAGCCAGGAAAGCCTCGCTGAGACTCAAGGCAATGTGTGCTGCCAAGTTGCTGTAGTAGGGCGGCGATGTTGCTCTGCGTCGTTTGATTGAATCGTAAATGATGGCCTTCGCTTCGTGTTCTCTTGTTTCAGGGACCATTTGTGCACATGAGCTGCATCCTCGCCACTCAGTTTGGCCGACTAATCGTGAAATTTGCTGGGAAGAAGGAGGTTAGTGGCGCGAGGCTTCTGTTTCGGGAGCGGTTTGAGTTTGTGTTCATTACTACAACATCCCACGAGAAAACCACACGTAATACCTGAAAAGCCACATGCAGTCGAATAGCCTGGCCGATGAATCTGGTTCGTTAAACACGAGTTGGAGCAGTGGTGCAGTGACCTCTGAACCAAACCACCCGAGTTCAATTCCCTCTCACGGACAACACCAGTGACGATTGTCTGAACCGGTGCTGGGCCTCCCCTAGGTCGACTCAGCCTCAAATTAGTACCTGGTGCGATGTGTAAACATCGCACTGGTTGAGACAAAGTGGTCCGGCGTGGTGCTGGCCACCCACCCCCGCGTGTGCCGTTAACAGCACTTGCCCCAACAGCCTGCTAATGCCACACGGGGGATCTTTATCTTTGCCCTGACGTCCACCCGCAGAACGAGGGCCGCAAGTACGAGATGATCGTGGCTGGTGCCGCGGTGGGGGTGGCTTGCTGCTTCGTGGCCCCAGTAGGAGGTGATGTCACCTGCACTCACCCCGCGTCTCTCCTCCCATCCTCGCACCCACTCACTCTCTCTCGCTTACTTCTGCTCCTGATCTCTCTCGCTCCCTTTTTTTATTCTTTTCATTCTTTTTTTCTTATTTCTTTTTCTCTTTTAAATTTTTTTCTATCTTTTTTCTCCTTTTTTATATTATGTTTATTTCTCTCTCCCTCTCTCTCTCTCCCTTTTTTCATTCTATATATTTTTTTTATATCTTTTTTCTCTTTTTTATATTATGTTTATTTCTCTCTCCCTCTCTCTCCCTTTTTTCATTCTTTTTTATATATTTTTTTTCTTATTATTTTTCTATCTTTTTTCTCCTTTTTATATTATTTTTTCTCTCTCTCCCTCTCTCTCTCTTCGATCCGCTCTGCCTCACTCTAGCACCTCTTGTCAGCTTCCCATTTCATAAAGCTCCCAAATATCCTGATGATGCTAATGATGTGGATGATGCTGATCATGCTGCTGCTTGTGTGTATGTTTAACTTTTTTTGTACCTGCTGCTGCTGCTGGAGATGATAATGCTGATTATACTGCTGCTGATGTTGATCGTGTGTCTGTTCCTTCTGCTGATGATCATCATATTGCTGCTGCTGTTGCTGCTTCTAATGATGATTCTCCTGATGCTGCTGCTGATGATGATATTAATGCTTCAACAATAGGTTTTACCCTTTATGGAAATAAAACAGTTGTGTCAAGATGTTAAAACACCAAACAGAATCCTTATTCAAGGAATCCTGTCTGCATTAACCACACGTACTTGTGGTGAACATGCAAAAACAAAACATGCTCTGGTGACATATCTATATGGCATTATCTTTGAAACGGATTGCTGCTGCTGATGATGATTATAGTGCTGCACCTGCGACTGCATCAGCTGCTGCTGCTGATGATGATGATTATAGTGCTGCACCTGCAACTGCATCAGTTGCTGTTGCTGATGATGACGCTGATGGTGATGATGACGCTGATGGTGATGATGACGCTGATGGTGATGATAACGCTGATGGTGATGATGACGCTGACGATGATGATTACGCTAACGCTGATGATGATGATGACGCTGACGCTGATGGTGATGATGACGCTGATGATGACGCTGACGCTGATGATGACGCTGACGGTGATGATGACGCTGACGGTGATGATGACGCTGACGCTGATGATGACGCTGATGGTGATGATGACGCTGATGCAGATGATGACGCTGATGGCGATGATAACGCTGATGATGATGATGACGCTGATGGTGATGATTTCTCGGCAACCCCGGGCAGGAGTGCTGTTCAGCGTGGAGACCACGGCCACTCACTTCGCGGTGCGCAACTACTGGCGCGGGTTCTTCGCTGCCACGTGTGCCGCCCTCATGTTCCGCCTGCTCGCCATCACCAACGGAGAGAAAGGTGCTTCCCCCCCGCCACCCCCCTCCTCATGATCTCGTCAAGGAGGATAAACCATCATCAAGCGAACTCCGGTCATCCTCACAGCAGCCGCAGTAGCAGCTTTTGTCTGCTAGCCATCAAACAACGATGGTGATCGCATCGCACGCTTTCAGATGCGCTTCCGTGGCCGTCTGGAATGTTCCTCTTTCCGATATTAGGAAGCCACCGGAGCTGGTGGCTTTTGTTACCTTTTATTTTGCCTTTTAAGCCATCAAAAGCGACATAAATGTCTATTTTTGAGGACACACTAAATGTCGGACTCCCATTGGAACCATCCTGAGTGTGGTTTAAATACATCATCAGGATAGATTTATTCACTGCTGGATGAAGAGCTCTCATCGCTATGCCGGTCATGGGGATTGTTGTTTGACCATACTTCACCACGCTTGTCATTGCGGTTTAGACATCGCAATGACACTCACGTGAGCCACGGCTGGGAATCATAGGGCAGCATTGCATTACTGCTCCCCCTTCACGTGACCTAACACGCGAAAAGCCCAAGGCCCCCCGTACGGAATCAGAATCTCTATTTATCCTTGGGGGAACCCGATGAACTACGAAGCTTTTTCTTCACAGATGTCCACTTAACACTATGTAGCTATGGGGATGAATGTTTTTTTTTTCTATTCACAAAATAAAACAAATGCAGTCATGCACATTTTTTTATTGCCTCTTTTTGGAGACCTCATTCAGACCTGGACACGTAAGTTTAATCAAACTCTGACAGTCGGTCCTCCCCAAAATTTACCAATTTTTTGAAATGAAATGCTGCGATATTTGACATCCCGGGAAATCTGCTTGAACATCTGTCCAATATTTTTTCAAAAATAATGTTTCTTACCGGTCTAAATTGGCACCAATGGTATGACAAAATACGTCGCACATTTGGCCATAACTCGACGACATTTATTTTGTATCGCATGTAATTTGGTGGTCTTCATCTGGTCCGAGTGCCCTAGCAGGTCTCCAAATTTTACGACTCTCGTCCAAAAGATAGCCGCTGGAGACACGAACACATTCCATGCAAAACGCCGTATGCAATGTACTAAGCCCTTACATCTTAATATACATTGTCCGAGCAGGAATTGTAGAACTATCTGATTTAACACAGCACAGAAAAACCAGTTGCACCATTCAATTCCGCTCGTCTAGGCGAGTAGTATGGAGGACCAATATTGTGGATCCTATGATCCGTGCGGTTATCCGCGCTTTAACTCCGCTTAACCGCGGGGCAACAATCAGCGGATAACCCCGTAGGATGACGTTGCCAAGCGACTCCTCTTATCCGTTGCTTCGCTATGCCTCATGGGTAAAATTGTGGATAACTGCGAACAATAGGAAAATATAGGGCTGTGGACAATCGGACTTTTCACCGACATTACCACCGCTGTGGGTAATAGAGGCGTGAATAACGTGAGTTCTTCTGTGTGTGTATATATTAAAGAAATAAAATTTAACAGCTAAGGCCCACTGAGCTATGTAGCTCTTTTTCAGAAGGCAACAAATGATAGGTCGACGACGTGGCTTATCATGTAGAAATTTAAAGCAGCCAAATACTCCGAACGCACGTTTCTAAATGTCGCAGGAAAAACCGGAGGACCCGGAGAAAAATCCACACGACCACGGGGAGAACACGCAAGCTCCAAATATTCTAGATTTGAAGCTTTCGTGACTGCAAGTATTCATATTCTTATGTTTTTTCGGTAAAGTCACGTAGGCAAAAAATTAAAATTAATAAAAGTAAAATAAAAATAAAAATCACGACGTTTCGGAGGCAACACAAGCTTCCGTCTGCAGGTGGAAACCGTAACAGCACGATTGCTGTATCAAGTAAATGAGAGATTCCAAGAGATACTACGTGACTTTACCGAAAAACCTAAGAATATAAAAACTCCAAATTCTCAGGCGTCAGGGTCGAACCCACGACCTCCTGTATACCAGGCGAGGTAGTTAACATCTTGCCACCGTGGCGCCCCGTGTATTTCATTCTACATATAACTGCATGCATCTCCAATCTCCCTGACCCCCACAGAGACGGTGGCTGTGCTGTTCACCACCAGCTACCAGGTGGAGTTCCCTTTCGACCTGCCCGAGTACTTCTCCTTTGCCATCCTCGGGTGAGAGGGGACAACACCTGGAGCTGCTGTCGCTCGGCAAAAGCTGTGCTTTCTTTATTCCCCGATTATTGCAACTCACTACTCTGCGGGACGTCTGGCAAAAAAAAACATTACCAAGCTGCAGCGTGTGTACACAATTCTCTGGCGCGCTGTCGTGCGGGGTAGTGTAAGATGCGACCGTGTCCGTCCACTGCTCGTCAAGCTGTATTGATTTCCGGTTGCCGAAACGAATACATTGTAAGGTCGCGCTCATTACACACAAAGTGCTTGCCACAAATTACGACCGAGTTAGCTTCCAGGGGTATGTTCGAAAGTTGATTTGTTCTCAAGTCCAACTTGACTGCTGTCGATTCCAAACGTGTTGTACGGCGTCTACGCTAGACAAGGGGAATGGCTTTACACGTTGTATAATCTCCTGTAGATGTAGATGCCACTGGTTCTTCACGTTCTGCAGATGTAGATGCCACTGGTTCTTCATGTTCTGCAGATGTAGATGCCACTGGTTCTTCATGTTCTGCAGATGTAGATGCCACTGGTTCTTCATGTTCTGCAGATGTAGATGCCACTGGTTCTTTACGTTCTGCAGATGTAGATGCCACTGGTTCTTCATGTTCTGCAGATGTAGATGCCACTGGTGTTTCACGTTCTGCAGATGTAGATGCCACTGGTTCTTCATGTTCTGCAGATGTAGATACCACTGGTTGTTCACGTTCTGCAGATGTAGATGCCATTGGTTCTTCACGTTCTGCAGATGTAGATGCCACTGGTTCTTCATGTTCTGCAGATGTATATGCCAGTGGTTCTTCACGTTCTGCAGATGTAGATGCCACTGGTTCTTCATGTTCTGCAGATGTAGATGCCACTGGTTCTTCATGTTCTGCAGATGTAGATGCCACTGGTTCTTCATGTTTTGCAGATGTAGATGCCACTGGTTCTTCATGTTTTGCAGATGTAGATGCCAGTGGTTCTTCATGTTCTGCAGATGTTGACGCCACTGGTTTTTTCATGTTCTGCAGATGTAGATGCCACTGGTTCTTCATGTTCTGCAGATGTAGATATCACTGGTTGTTCACGTTCTGCAGATGTAGATGCCATTGGTTCTTCACGTTCTGCAGATGTAGATGCCACTGGTTCTTCATGTTCTGCAGATGTATATGCCAGTGGTTTTTCACGTTCTGCAGATGTAGATGCCACTGGTTCTTCACGTTCTGCAGATGTAGATGCCACTGGTTCTTCATGTTCTGCAGATGTAGATGCCATTGGTTCTTCACGTTCTGCAGATGTAGATGCTGCTGGTTCTTCATGTTCTGCAAATGTAGATGCCACTGGTTCTTCATGTTCTGAAGATGTAGATGCCACTGGTTCTTCATGTTTTGCAGATGTAGATGCCACTGGTTCTTCATGTTTTGCAGATGTAGATGCCAGTGGTTCTTCATGTTCTGCAGATGTTGACGCCACTGGTTTTTTCATGTTCTGCAGATGTAGATGCCACTGGTTCTTCATGTTCTGCAGATGTAGATACCACTGGTTCTTCACGTTCTGTAGATGTAGATGCCATTGGTTCTTCACATTTTGCAGATATAGATGCCATTGGGTTTTCACGTTCTGTAGATGTAGACGCCACTGGTTCTTCACGTTCTGCAGATGTAGATGCCATTGGTTCTTCACGTTCTGCAGATGTAGATGCCACTGGTTCTTCATGTTCTGCAGATATAGATGTCATTGGTTCTTCACGTTCTGCAGATGCAGATGCCACTGGTTCTTCACGTTCTGCAGATGTAGATGCCACTGGTTCTTCACGTTCTGCAGATGTTGATGCCATTGGTTTTTCACATTCTGTAGATGTAAATGCCACTGGTTCTTCACGTTCTGCAGATGTAGATGCCATTGGTTTTTCACATTCTGTAGATGTAGATGCCACTGGTTCTTCACGTTCTGCAGATGTAGATGCCATTGGTTTTTCACATTCTGTAGATGTAAATGCCACTGGTTTTTCACGTTCTGCAGATGTAGATGCCATTGGTTTTTCACATTCTGTAGATGTAGATGCCACTGGTTCTTCACGTTCTGCAGATGTAGTTGTCATTGGGTTTTCACATTCTATAGATGTAGATGCCACTGGTTCTTCACGTTCTGCAGATGTAGTTGCCATTGGTTTTTCACATTCTGTAGATGTAGATGCCACTGGTTCTTAACGTTCTACAGATGTAGATGCCACTGGTTCTTCACGTTCTTCAGATGTAGATGCCACTGGTTCTTCACGTTCTGTAGATGTAGATGCCACTGGTTCTTCACGTACTGTAGATGTAGATGCCACTGGTTCTTCACGTTCTGCAGATGTAGATGCCACTGGTTCTTCATGTTCTGCAGATGTAGATGCCACTGGTTCTTCACGTTATGTAGATGTAGATGCCACTAGTTCTTCACGTTCTGTAGATGTAGATACCACTGATTCTTCACGTTCTGCAGATGTAGATGCCACTGGTTCTTCACGTTCTGTAGATGTAGATGCCACTGGTTCTTCACGTTCTGTAGATGTAGATGCCACTGGTTCTTCACGTTCTGCAGATGTAGATGCCACTGGTTCTTCATGTTCTGTAGATGTAGATACCACTGATTCTTCACGTTCTGCAGATGTAGATGCCACTGGTTCTTCACGTTCTGCAGATGTAGATGCCACTGGTTCTTCATGTTCTGCAGATGTAGATGCCACTGGTTCTTCACGTTCTGTAGATGTAGATGCCACCACCGCCATCTATTTGCGCGGCAGTTGAACTTACGACTCTCGGTCCGAACTGGCAACTCGACACACAGACAAGTTTGTTCGTATCTCTGAAAGTTCGTAAGTCGAATGCTCGTAAGTAGAGGAGTCCCTGTACATTTTGTCTATGTCTCTTGTGTCATCCCACGAGGATAGTAAACGTTGATAGGGAGGGACCACGAAACACATTTATGCTTTGCCCCCCCCCCGCTACCGGCTAGCACAGCGGTCGGGAACCTATGGCTTCCGAGCCATATATGGCTCTTCCGGTGACGGCATATGGCTCCCAGACAATTTTGAGTTGAAAAAAATAAAATAAAAAAATCAGTTTGGAACTGATTTTAAAATACTTGTGATATTGCTTAATAATACTGTGTCATTTTAAAGTAAACAAAGATTAGTTTTGAAGATAAATTTCACGGGTCACGGGGCCTCAACACCTGCATGAAGCTCAACCTCACCACGTACGAACCAGACTACAAGGCCATCAGCAAAACCATGTAGCACCAGAAGTCGCGTTAAAAGTAAGACATATTTAATTTATTATACGTTAAAAATACTATAAGGCTCTCAATGCAATATATTTAGAAATATTTGGCTTTTATGGCTCTCCCAGTCAAAAAGGTTCCCGATCCCTGGGCTAGCACCAGCACTGCAGCTAAACGTGTGGTGTGGGTTGGTGTGTTGATGTGCCTCGACGTCTCTTGTGTGCGCGCTAGAGTTCTGTGTGGCTGCCTTTGCTGCGTCTATTTGTTTTGCCACCGGAACCTGCTCATCTTCATGATGAACAACAAGACCATCTCCAAGTTCATGGCCAATAAGTAAGTGACAGGCACTCGGTCACCCTGGTAAATGATGCTGGGAATGCACATTCTGCCCGTGGGGAATGCGTCGAATGAATATTCTTGCACATGTAACGCCCTTTTAGTTCATATATTTTACTGGACGTCTGTGAAAAGAGCTTAATAGCTCATTGAATTCTGACGTTGCTGGATGGGGGCCCTCTCATGGTGCGGATCACGAGAGGGTTATTAGAACATAATTTGCCATTCTTGGTCAGCGTGGGTTGGTGAAGGCGGGCAGAACTAGACGTGGAAGCATAGATCACCACTGCTGTCCGCTGCCCACAGCATAGAGCAGCCTATATACAGAATGACAAAGATCCCCCGTATAGCCTTCAACAGAGTGTAGGTGCTGGTACTAAAACAAATTGCAAACAAACATGCTCTGATAATATACCCATTGTCTTTGCCAGAGAGAGTAAAGCCTATTCTTATGTTTTTCATCGTTGTGATACTGGCCAAAAAGGTCCCATAGATATTTATTTAAAAACAGAAATCAACGTGCAACTGGAAGCAAAAAATGTTAGGGGTCAATTATTTTGGGGGGTCACAAGACATCTGGACCAGCTTGTAACAGGGGCACCAATAAATTATAGCCTTGTTTTGGCGATTTCTAAAACATGTGGCTAAGCCATGTTACTTGCGGTTTGTGCGGAGTTGGCCTTGATAACTTTAATCTAAATTGTCTTATGGTTGTTATTCTTTGACGTGCATCACACTGGGATTTTTGCACACAGCTTTGTAATACGGTGGGGGTTTTTTTTCTGGAAGATTTGCTGTTTTGTCCAGGATGTTTCTGTTGCGCGTCGTCGCTTTAAGATGTTTCTCTGTTCATATTTTATATGTTGCGGTTGCACCCGACTCAAGAGCCGCATGGCTCACAGGGCTATACCCAATAAATGAAACTTGAACTTGAAACTTGACTAACCCCACGGGCGGCTGCGGCTTCTCTTGTTCTTGTTGTTGTCGTCTCCAGCAAGGTGCTGTACTCGGGCGTGTTGACGCTCATCCTGGCCAGCATCACCTTCCCCCACGGCTTCGGGCAATACATCGGATCGCGGGTACGGTCAAGCGCGCCCGCAGCTTGTGCGCGATTAGGCGCGGGGAGCTAATTACGACCGTGGACATACGTTGGCCGGGCCCTTTGGCGATCTGCTGCTGGATGAGAGACTCCCCGCGCACCCCACGCCGTCGGTGTCGCGGTGGGGATTCATTTGTTTGGCCATACTTCGCCACGCCGGTCCATTGCGGGACGGCGAAGCGCTGGGGAGTGGTGAAGTTTTTAAAACTGCACACCGTTGTCCACCACGTAGCCCCCCCCTACCCCCCAACAGTCTATAGCTCCTGGTATGCATTGAGGTTGCCTATCCAAAAGCTATCCGGGATCAGGGATTTTGTTTTGACCAGAAGGAAACAGACACGAGGCGTGGAAGATGATCTACACAGAAAATCGGTCGACCCTGTACTCGTTCTCTGCAATAGTATTCATAGTAACGGGGATTTGGATTAAATTATGTAAATATAAATGTGTCGTGAACCCACCGCCGCCCGACACAGCCAATGAGCAAGGTTTGTCACGTGAACAAAACTGGTTCAGCAAACTGGTGCGTTGGAGAGTAAACCCACAACATTTATAATTTGAGCACGACGTTTCTCTGGTGATTACAGCTAGCTTCATCAGGTGCTTTTCCAGAATTTTGAAGACGTCTTCCTGTTTCCGGGCTTAAATATTAATTCATAATATAGGTTTTGGGTCAGATCGCGTTATTTATAAATGTGTTGTAACCCTCCACCACCCGACACGGCCAAACAGTAAAAAATGTGTCACGTTTTCAAAGAATAAAATAATTCACTTCTTTAGCCCACCGGTGTGTTGAAGAGAGGATCAACAGCATTTAAAAATTTGAGTACGACGTTTCGCTGATGATTACAGCTAGCTTCATCAGGTGCTTTTCCAGAATTTTGAAGAAGTCTTCCTGTTTCCGGGCTTAAATATTGATGCTGCAATATTAATGGTGTTTGTCTTTTGTTTTTATTGCTGCTGCTGCTGCTGCTGCGTTCACGCAACCACGGATCTCAAGTCTCAGATAGCCGGGAAACTGACTAAACGGGACCTTCGCCCTTGTAACAAATCAAATAAACTCAAACTCCTTGGGACCCACTGGCCAAAAAACACTCGGCGTTTTCCCCACGCTGATCACAATGAGCGTGGTGGCGCCATCTGGCGGACAGATTCCAAAAATGCATGCGTGCGTCGTGCGAGCTGAAATGATCGGGAGTATATTTTCGACTGGTCCAGGCGAGCCCCGCCGCATCGAATGCCTCTCTTTATTCAGGAGGATCCTGCCAAGTGGAGTTTTTTTCATACATAGAGAGATATTTTTTTCAGCCAAATAACGAATGGGAGAAAACTGGAGAAGCCCAAAGAAAACCCAATCACGCTAGAGGGAGCAACGCTCTATCCCCGTACAGATGGAAACGGCGCGAAAGAAGTTCAGCATACACACGCACACCCTGGAATCCATCGCACGTAAAACTGCAGGGCACTTCGTAGGCCACCAGAGGGACAGTACAGAAAATGCGTTTGCTGAATTACAATTCGCAGTTGTGAGCGCTATCCCCATTGCATAGCGTGGGTTTCTCTTCCAGGTATTTTGGTTACTCTCCCACGTGAAATTGAATACTCAACCAGGCATGTTACGAGCATTGAAGCTCTCCTCTGTAAAGAAATAACAAAAATCTTATGTATGGGGCACCGTAGTGGCGAGATGTGAACGCCCTCGCCTGGCATGCAGGAGGTCGTGGATTCGATCCCGACGCTGACGCCTGCTGCTGTATATTTGGGAGTTTGCGTGTCTCTCTCTCCCCGTGGTCGCGTTCATTTTTCTCCGGGTCCTCCGGTTTTTCCCTCCACATTTAAAACCAACACGAATTTAGAAGATTTGGCTGCTATACATTTCCACGCGACGATAAACCACTTCGTTGAGCTATGGATTTGTGGCTGGTCGCTTCTGACAAAGACCTACGTAGCTCAGTTCGTGTTAGATGTGGCTATGCTGCTGTCGTTTCGTCATGGTTGTCACACTGGATGGACTTGCAAGCCAGAGGTTCGCCGGATCGATTTGATCTCCAGACGCAGCAGTTGAAACAATGTGGCAAGTTTCTTAAATCGCCCCCCTCACCCTCCCCCGCCTCTATTCGTCCAGCAGTGTAATTGGGCTCACCACAGTTCGTTGAGTGGGCAGGTAACGTGTGGTGGGGTAAAGCGTGAGTAACCTCTACATATTTTTCAATTTAAAGCTTTCGTGACTGCAGGGATTCATCTTCTTGGTTCTTTCGGTAAAGTCACGTAGAATGGAAATAATAAAATAATAAAAATTAAACATAATAAAATAATTCTCACGACGTTTCGGCCAGGTCTGTCTTATCGACAGACCTGTTCTCCACCTGATGACGGCTGCTTGCGTTGTGGCCGAAACGTCGTGAGAATTATTTTATTATGTTAAATTTTTATTATTTTATTATTTCCCTTCTACGTGACTTTACCGAAAGAACCAAGAGGATAACCTCTACCTCTTCCAAGACATTTGGGCTGGCCTTAAGGAGGAGGCCAAATAATGTGGACTATAGAGGGACTCCCTGGCAGTGGCATGAGCGAGTAATTGCAGGGCCGCATCTCTGTAATTGAATGTTATTCTTTGACAATGGATGACGATGACTACTAAAGCTTTGTGCTTGCTCATATTAACCCGGTCACTCGGTCATCCTCGCAGCGGCTTTTGGCTCACGCGCTTTCAGATGCACTTCTGCGGCCGTCTGGAATGTTCTTCCTTCCGTTATTAGGAAGTCACTGGAGATATGCACTTTCAAATAATCTAGATTGAGAATTCATTTCTTTAGAACCGCTTTTAGTGTTCAGTTTGTTGTATTTCCCCCGCACCTCCGGTTGGCACGGTTGGCCACGTATGGTGCGAGAGAAGTTGGACATGCATACACACTGACCCACACACTGACCCACTCACTCACAATTGACTATGTACGGTGCGAAAAAAGTTAAACATACATACACTCACCCACTCACTCACCTGCTCACTCACTCACTCACCCGCTCACTCATCCACTTACTCACCCACTAACTTACCCACTAATTCACCCGCTCACTCACCCGCTCACTCACCCGCTCACTCACCCGCTCACTCACCCACTAACTCACCCACTCACTCATCCACTTACTCACCCACTAACTTACCCACTAATTCACCCACTCACCCGCTCACTCACCCACTCACCCGCTCACTCACCCACTCACTCACCTACTCACTCACCCGCTCACTCATCCACTTACTCACCCACTAACTTACCCACTAATTCACCCGCTCACTCACCCGCTCACTCACCCGCTCACTCACCCGCTCACTCACCCACTAACTCACCCACTCACTCATCCACTTACTCACCCACTAACTTACCCACTAATTCACCCACTCACCCGCTCACTCACCCACTCACCCGCTCACTCACCCGCTCACCCACCCACTCACTCACCCACTCACCCACTCACTCACTCACCCACTCACTCACTCACCCGCTCACTCACTCACCCAGCCACTCACTCACCCACCCACCCACTCACTAACTCACCCACTCACTCACCCACTCACCCACTCACTAACCCACTCACTCACTCACCCGCTCACTCACCCGCTCACTCACCCATTCACTCACCCATTCACTCACCCGCTCACTCACCCACTCACTCACCCGCTCACTCACCCACTCACTCACCCACTCACCCACCCACGGTCGGCGACTAACGGCGCGCAAAAAGTTCAACATACCTACACGACCTAACGCAGCTGTCCGCGTGCACTCTCTGCGGCACCAACAGCTGACCATGAAGGAGCACCTGGCGACCTTTTTCGACAACCGCACGTGGGGAATCGACAGCGTGAACCTGAGCAACGTGACCCTGCAGCCTCCCAACCCCACCTATCACGACCAGTGGCTGCAGTGGACGCACACGGGCCTCACCTCGCTCCACATGCTCGCCATGTTCGCCGTGTTCAAGGTGCCGATATAACACGCTCATTGGCACCGTGGTGGCTCGGAGATGTTAACTCCCTCGCCCGGTATGCAGGAGGTCGCTGTGGGTTCGGTCCTGATGCCTGCTGTAGATTTGCAGTTTGCGTCTCTTTCTCGCTCTCTCTCTCTCCCCGTGGTCACGTGGATTTTTCTTCGGGTCCTCCGGTTTTTAAATCCTTTATATTAAGTTCGCTTGCTTGCTTGCTTGCGCGCTTACGACCGTGCAAATCTTTCGGTCGTTTTTTAACCCACTTCCCGTGATCCAATCGAGCTGACATTTTGCACACAGACTCGTTGTGGGTGACAATGTATTTTCGTGAAAATTTTTCCCCAAAATTTTACACTGTTTAGGAAAAAATAAATTATATTTAATTACCAATTGCTTAATGGTGGCAGCCATTCATCTGACTCATAGGTGGCAGCCATCTCAAGCCAGAGGACGAGAAGACTCTAGCCGCCACGCATATAAAGGATTTATAGTAAAAAACTTTTTTTTACGGGTTAATTTTTACCTCCACATTTAGAAACGTGCGTTTAGAAGAGTATTTGGCTGCTAGAAATGTCCACGTGATCAGCCACTTCGTTGAGCTATCATTTGTCTTGCCTGATACAATAACAAATTTTTAGTTTTAGTTTACATAAGCAAACTAAACACACAGCTTTTTCGTAGTCAATATTACGATTCTAGATTTTTTTGTTGAGTCTGACCACATATTGATCTGGCCAAATGTGTGTCGTTAAGACCCTCCACCATCCGATGTTCAGATTTAGCTTCAAACAAAACGTCGGATAGAATCGCCAAGATTGGCTGTGATTACTATTCTTCATTCTAGATTTGAAGCTTTCGTGACTGCAAGGATTCATATTCTTAGGTTTTTTTCGGTAAAGTCACGTAGGTAAAAAATTAAAATTTAAATTAATCAAAGTAAAATGCAATAAAAATCACGACGTTTCAGAGGCAACACAAGCTTCCGTCTTCAGGTGGAACCGTCACAGCACGATAGCTGTATCAAGTACTTACTTACTTGTATCAAGTACTTACTTACTTGATACAGCAATCGTGCTGTGACGGTTCCACCTGAAGACGGAAGCTTGTGTTACCTACGAAACGTCGTGATTTTTATATAATTTTTATTTTACTTTTATTAATTTTTATTTAAATTTTTTACCTACGTGACTAAAAAAAACTAAGAATACTATTCTTCAACTTACTGGTGCGTTAAAGCAATCATTATTGGCGCGTTACACGCTTGCATGCGTGACAATTTAAGTCAAGGTAAATTTTCTCCGTTTATGATTACAACACAAATACAGCAGATACATACATTAGATAATTGGAGTGGTGGCTTAATGATTAGCGCACTGCCCTATCAACCCAGCGACCTGAGTTTGATTCCTTCGCCACTGCTGACGCCAGTGTAGAGTGATATCTGGAACAGGTCCTGTTCTCCCCTTTCACCAACTCACAGTGGCGGAGCCAGTGGCGGGGGGGGGGGGTGTGGCACGTGCCCCCCCCCCCCCCCCCAATGATTGGATCGAAATCCTTAAGTTCGATCGGATCATTGGGGTTTATTAGTAATAAATCGGCATTTTGCGACCCCTACTGCCAGTGTAGCATATTATTACGTGCCAGGGACTCTATGAGATGATAGGACAATAGTCTGAGTCCATAATTGGCAATAAGTAATGGCAAAGCGGTTATAAGTGACTCACAGAATTATGCGCAGTTGCGCATACAGCACACGACTTCCCTGAAGGCATCAACACCTTCAGCGAGCGCGATGCCGATCACACAACGCGGTTCGAATTCGACCTTCGGATCGATGGCTGCGCCATCGCCGCACACGCATCGAATAAAAAGCAAGGGACAAGTCCTTACTTGCTAACAACTCCTCTATCATTTTTCATTGCTGGAGGGGTTGCCCCCCCCCCTACCTGAAACTCCTGGCTCCGCCATTGGCAGTGACCAGCATGGTGAAGTATTGTCGAGCAACTCCCCGTGACCGACTGGTGCATGTGGAGGTCTTCATCCAGAAGTGTATTGGCAAAGGCCTGTCAATGATTGTAACCGTCTATGACAATCAATCACAATGTTTAACTGCACTAAACGAGCGCGTGTGTGCCTTTCTTTACCCTCCCCTCCCAACAGTTTTTCATGCTGATCCTCGCCACCACGTTGCCTGTTCCCGCTGGTTATTTCCTGCCCGTGTTTGTGTACGGTGAGTACACGCGGTGACCTCGGAGGCGACCCACGCCATTGTCTAGCACGACCCTCGCTGTAAACCTCGCTCGCGTTCGACGGGGGGAGCGCACCGAGGATGTGATCGCGATACGCTGCGGAGTAATGCCGTGACGGCGGCAAATCAAGACGCTCTCTCTCTCTCTGCATAACGAGTGGAATCGATCTTCTTGGTTCTTTCGGTAAAGTCACGTAGAAGGGAAATAATAAAATAGTAAAAATAAAACATAATAAAATAATTCTCACGACGTTTCGGCTACAACGCAAGCACCCGTCCTCAGGTGAAGAATGAGGATGGCTGCTTGCGTTGTAGCCGAAACGTCGTGAGAATTATTTTATTATGTTTTATTTTTATTATTTTATTACTTCCCTTCTACGTGACTTTACCGAAAGAACCAAGAAGATTAATCCCTGCAGTCACGAAAGCTTTAAAGTGGAATCGATGTTTTTGTTTCGTGTTCGACAGAGACGGGCAGACGGGCAGGCTGGCAGACATAGGACTCGAGCCGAGTCTTTGGGTCTCCGCGTTGTTGAGCCTTTAGCTCGCTTCGTGAGTCTCTTGCTCTCTGTGTGTGTGTGTGTGAGCCTGTGGATATCTCTGCGTGAGTGCGTCTGATTGAAACAGGATGTGGATTTATACAGGGTGTAAATTTGATCACATCTCAAGATGCTCTATATAAACTGTGGGTAGATTTTAATATATTTCTAGGGGGAGTCAGTGATAGAGGAAAATTAGAAGCTTTGATCCACCTATTTATTACAATATTCAGTCTCGTGGCAAAGCAGTTGAAACAAGGGAGCAATATTCTTGAATCCCCTCGCCTCTGTCCACCCAGCAATAATATAAGTGGGTAGAACACAGCTAGTCCGATCGGCAGGTTGCGGTGGCGAGATGTTAACTACCTCGCCTGGTATGCAGGAGGTTGTGGGTTCAATCACGACCCTGACGTCAGCTGTATATTTGGAGCTTTCAAGTTCTCCCCATTGTCGCGTCGATTTTTCTCCAGGTCCTCCGATGTCTCCCTCCACATTTAGAATGAACACGCGTTTTGAGTCTTTGGCTGCTAGAAATGTGCACGCGATAAGCCACTTCGTTAAGCTATCATGTGTGGCCAGGTCGCTTCCAAAAAATAACTAATCGCTCATTGGGCTTTACCTCGTAAAAAGGTAAATACAATTAAATATATATATATTTTAGGTCACGTATAGTTGGGCAAAGTATGGCTACTCTCACATCTTCCGTAGATTGTTTTGGTCCAGTGTGGAAGAGTAGGCCAAAAACACCCTCGAGTAGAACTCTCTCGGGCTCCCCCTACTGGAGGCCTTTCCAGCAGCAGTGGCGTGAGCGAGCAATTGCAGGGCTGCACCTTGACCCTCTTCTGTCTTCTCCTTTTCACAATTTATTCGTATCCACGAGCCTGAACGGGCGTCGACGCATTGGTCGCTCATTGTTTCATTGTCAATTACAAGCGGGGGGTGAGAGGACACTCGTGATCCAGGGTGGTGCCTAGTGGGGCTGGGTTTCCTGAGCAGACGAGCGTCAGCACGCGCGTCTCCGAGCGTGTGCTCAAGGGAGCGGTGGCGCAATGGTTAGCGCTACGCTTGCGCTGCGAACCCAGTGAGCCGAGTTCGGTTCCTGCTCGTGGCCGACACCAGTGGCGATTATCTGAACCGGTCCTGGGCCTCCCTGTAGGTCGACTCAGCCTCAAATGAGTACCTGGTGCGGTGTTGTAAGCATCGCCACTAGGGAGACAAAGGTGACTTGACGTGGTGCTGGCCACCCACCCACACGTGCCGTGCCGGCCTTCATAGGTGCTCGCGAACAGCACTTGCCCCCCCAAAAGTCTGTTCAGGCTTCAAGGGGGATCTTTGCTTCGTGTGCTCACGGCAGTACAGAAAGAAGGTGGCATCCAGGCCGCGGTGGGAGTGCAGCTGCGGGCGGTATGAGATGTATGCACGTTGCGTAGTTACCCGTGCTAAATTTGGGAGCCTGGTTTGGTTACCAAGCAAATGCCCCCCCCCCCCCCTTCCTGCACCTTGGCCGGGTAGAAGTGCGCGACACCGCTCAATCCTGATCCACTGAACGCGCCAGGGCGGAACGCTTCCTAGAACGGACGGCTCTGCTTACTCCGGTTTGCCAGGATTCACACAGCGTCAAGATCGTTGAATGACGGCACCAAAAAAAAAATCGATCCACCCAACTCACGAGTGCCCGACGCCGTTGTAACGGCTCAAGAGCCCAGATGTGGATTCATGAACGTGGTCGCTGTTCCGAAAGTGAAGTCGCGAACCTCCTGCGGCACAACGCCATCGGCGAGCGAGCGGGCTGCCCGCGCGCGTCATTGTGGATGGTCGAGGCCAGCGCGTCATTGGCGCCGTGATGACCCTACGGCCACGTGGCCGCGAGTGCACCAGCCTCGTCAGAATCTCGGAAGCTCAGCAGGGCTGAGCCTGGTTATAAACTTGGATAGGAGACAACCCCATGGGAATGAATACCAGGCGTATTCATCCCCAGGCTGAATACTGCGAGGGACGTAGCGGCTTTGGGAGGCCTTCATCCAGCAGTGAATAGACCATGGCTGATGATGAAGTCCTTCCCCAGCACCATAGATTAGCGCGGGTCTACTACGTACGGTGCGCGAAAGAGGTTCAACAACAGTGCGTGCGCACGTGAACACATCGCTAGCGAGTTGGAGTCAAATATCGGGAGTCAACAATGGAGCCCCCTGCCCCCGTCACATGAAGTCCGCCAACTGCAGAGCGCAGCCTCCCACAGCGAGCGAGGGGCGGGGGGGGGGGCTGTCTGTGCCCATTGTTCTTGATGCAGGCATCACCCCTCGCATTGTCCCCCTTCCAGCCAGAGAGGGGGGGCTGGGAAGGGGGGAACAATATCCCGCTCGGCAGACCCAGTCGCTCGCGTCTGGCAGAGATCATTGCGCACGTACGCTAGGATTCCCCAGGGAGACCCCGGCAGGTTTAAAAATGTTTTAACTGAAATCAACTCGGGGAGCTGTACATCACAACTGCGCACACCTAAGCAGACATTCTTATATGTATTCTTAGGTTTTTTCGGTAAAGTCACGTAGGTAAAAAATTAAAATTAATAAAAAGTAAAATAAAATAAAATCGCGACGTTTCGGAGCCAACACGTGATTTTATTTTATTTTACTTTTTATTAATTTTAATTTAAAATTTTTACCTACGTGACTTTATCGAAAAACATTAGAATATGAATCCTTGCAGTCACGAAAGCTTCAAATCTAGAATTCTTATATGTATTTATCGCGCTCGATTACCATTAAAAGCCTCACCGAGTCTCACGATTCTTTGTCAGGAGGGTCCTGACAAGTGTCCGCAGTAGGGGGGGGCTCGATGATTGCTACTGCATGTAGATTCCAAATGAACGTGGACCAGAACACCGGATTTTTCTGTTGCGTGTAGTCACTTTAAGATTTCGATTTAAAGCTTTCGTGACTGCAGGGATTCATCGTCTTGGTTCTTTCGGTAAAGTCACGTAGACGGAAAATAATAAAAATAAAACATAATAAAATAATTCTCACAGAGAGAATTATTTTCACAGAGAGAATTATTTTATTATGTTTTATTTTTATTATTTTATTATATTCCTCCTACGTGACTTTACCGAAAGAACCAAGAAGATCACTTTAAGATGTTTCTTTGTTCATGTTTTTGTTTTCTTGCGGTTGCACCCGAGTCAAGAGCCGCATGGCTCACAGGGAACTGAAACTGAAATGACCCACTCCTGCGAAAGACGTCAGGGAATCTTTAACGTCCGCTTTGGATCACACGGCATGCGTTCTTTGGTTGGTCAATACGCACCGCAGAGTTACACTGGGGAATCAAACCACGAACGTGCTACCGCTTGGCGGTGGTCCACCACCCCTTACACAAGCAATGATTCCGATTTAAAGCTTTCGTGACTGCAGGGATTCATCTTCTTGGTTCTTTCGGTAAAGTCACGTAGAAGGGAAATAATAAAATAATACAAATTAAACAAAATAAAATTCTTCTCACGACGTTTCGGCCACAACGCAAGCAGCCGTCCTCAGGTGAAGAACAGGTTTGTTGGAAAGACAGCGTCTGAATGAAACACCACCAAGCTTGGAGCGTATATTTAAGCTGGGTTGGAGGGGGAAGAGCGCCTTGACAAAGGCATTTGCATATAAAGAGGAATTTAGCATATTTATGGGAAATGCAGATATGGGATTAGTCACTACTTGTGTCAAGGCGCTCTTCCCCCTCCAACCCAGCTTAAATATACGCTTCCAAGCCTGGTAGTGTTCATTCAGACGCTGTCTTTCCGACAGACCTGTTCTTCACCTGAGGACGGCTGCTTGCGTTGTGGCCGAAACGTCGTGAGAATTATTTTATTATGTTTTATTTTTATTATTTTATTTTTTCCCTTCTACGTGACTTTACCGAAAGAACCAAGAAGAAGCAATGATTCAGCAATGATTCAGAACTCAGCGCGCCGCTCCTCTTGCTCTTCCTGTGTGCCAGGTGCCGGACTCGGACGTCTCTATGGAGAGCTCATGGCCAAGATGTTCCCGGATGGAATCATCGCCGAAGGAGTCACCATTCTGATCCACCCGTCCGCCTATGCGCTTGCAGGTGCGTACGTACGCGCGTGCGTGCGTCGGCCAGGTGAAACGCCACAAGTGAATGGTTACTTGGATATTCTCCCAGCATCTACATTTCTTAAGGGACAATCTGACACAATTGGCCGGGTCTCTCTCTCTCTTGTTATATCGAAATCCCTAATTTCGATGATCCGATCGAAATCCCTAATTTCGATGATCCGATCGAAATCCATAATTTCGATCGAATCATTGGGGTTTATTCGTAATTAATCGGCATTTTGCGACCCCCAGTGCCACTGTGTAGTAAAACATAATAAAATAATTCTCACGACGTTTCGGCCACAACGCAAGCAGCCGTGAGAATTATTTTATTATGTTTTATTTTTATAATTGTATTATTTCCCTCCTACGTGACTTTACCGAAAGAACCAAGAAGATGAATCCCCGCGGTCACGAAAGGTTTAAATCGAAATTTAACTGAGCCTTTGTTTATGTAGATGGTAGAAGCAGAAAAGCAGGCCAGAAAGAAACAGCCCCTTGCTATGTTGCCGGGTGGGTAAAACTTAAGGCAGGAAACCTCCCGCATACCGGGCGAGGCATTTGACCATCTCCCTGATCCGCAGGCGCGGCGGCGTACTCGGGGGCGGTGACGCACACGCTCTCGACGGCCGTGCTTGTGTTCGAGCTGAGCGGGCAGATGTCGCACATCCTGCCCGTTCTCATCGCGGTGCTGATCGCCAACGCCATCAGCCAGCGGCTGCAGCCGTCCTTCTTCGACGGCATCATCATCGTAAAGAAGCTGCCCTTCATGCCCATGCTCGCCATGGGGAAGACAGAGTAAGGGGCACCCTCTCCCCCCCCACCACCACCACCACCTCCTCCCCGACTGCACATCACAATGATGTCATCGTTATTGTAATAATATGTATTATTGTAAATAATTGTCATATAGTGCCTGATTGGCCGTGTCGGGTGGTGGAGGGTTACGACACATTTATAAATAACGCGATCTAAACCCAAACACGTTGATTATGCATATAGTGCCTCTTAATAATAATTAAGATCGTGTTGAGTCTTAATTATTACGCGTATAATACGTATGATGAGCTTACGAATTATAATCGTTATGTATTACTGTTCTTAAATTGTATTCATTATTATAATAATTATAACCGATACTTATTAGAATAATTGTTATTCTTGTAATAATCAGTAGGATAATGCGCCGTATGGTGTGTCAATATCAGCATAATAATCATTAGCTCCTATTATAGTAATTATAGATAACAATAGATCTAATTATAGTTAATTAGTAGTACATGATCTTTATCCCCTGTGGGTTATAAGACCACAATGAGTTGCCTCTACTTCTTCCTGTTCCTAGCAACATGCTGAACCTCGCCCCAACAGAGGTTGATCGCGGCCACCAGCTCATCCTCCCAATAATTATTCGTTTTTGGTATAGCGCCGTTTGAAGGGGCACCCCCAGTAGCAGCTGTCCCCACCGTGGCACGCGGTGACTGAGCACGCCTGGACTTGTGTGGGGGAATTACCAAAAAGTGTGCGCAGAACGTCAAATAGCGCGCAGATAACGTGCACAAATAACGTACAAATAACACGCAAATAACGTGCACAAAAATCACTCAGCCTCTTGCATCGTGCAAAAACCATCAACCGCTCCTGAAGAGCTGCATTGCGGCCCTCTGCATTTCGCCTAGCATCCCCAAATTGTTTTTTTTAAATATACTATTGTTATACAGTAAAACCTTTGATTGCGAGTAACTTGGTCCGCGAGTGTTTTGCAAGACGAGCAAAATTTTTTAATAAATATTAATTTGATAAACGAGCGAGGTCTTGCAATACGAGTAGTACGTGTATACGCTTTGTCTGCCAAGCGTCACGTGATCACAACCGATATACGAGTGCTTTGATATACGAGTGCTTTGGATTACAAACACGTTTCCGGAACGAATTATGCTCGCAATCCAAGGTTTTACTGTAAATGACTTTAAAAAAAACACACGCACGCACGCACGTATAGCTTGTGATATGTACGACCACTTCCCTGCCCCTGTTTGTCTGCTGGCCGACGAGGCCTCGACGGAGAAGATCCATCGCTTGTTGGGGGGGGGGCTTTGCTCGGCCAAGACGCTTCGTATGACTTCCCCGCAGATCTCACGACGTGATGGCTGAGGACTTCATGACGACCGACGTGAAGTACGTGACGAAGGAGAGCACCTACAAGGACGTGAAAGACCTGCTGATGAAAACCAAAATCCGCGTCTTCCCCCTGGTCGACTCCAACGGTGCGTTGGCGTCAGAGGTCGCAACCGGGTACCCGATACCCGTGCCCTACCCGATACCCGGCTACCCATACCCGGCCGGGTACGGGTACGGGTAGCCGTTTGCGACCCTGGTGCGGCTGGGTACGGGTACGGGTAGGCCGTGAGTCACTGGTGAGTAACCGTTTGTCACTCATTTCGGGTAGGGTATGGGTACGGGTAGAGAACGGGAACCCGTACCCGACCGGGTACGGGTACGGGTACCCATTTGCGACCCTGGTGCGGCCAGGTACGGGTACGGGTAAGGAATCAAAACCCGTTTGCGACCTCTGGTTGGCGTTCGCTGAGCAAGCGAGCGGCGTCGCCGTGAAGCGTGTTGTGCGCGGGTTTCTCTCGCAGCAACGGCTGTGGGATTCGGGATGTTTGGCTTGGGCCGCACCGAACGATCTGAACTGATTTGTATGAGAATCGGTTTTAACCTTATTTCTGGCAACAAAACAGGTGTGTTAAGTTGTTAAAACACCAAACTGAAAACGTTTACAAGGAATCATGTCTGCATTAACCACAATGCTTGTGGTCAGAATGCAAACAAAACACATACTCTTCTTGGTTATTTCGGTAAAGTCACGTAGAATGGAAATAATAAAATAATAAAAATTAAACATAATAAAATATTTTATTATGTTTAATGTTTATTTTTATTATTTCCATTCTACGTGACTTTACCGAAAGAACCAAGAAGATGAATCCCTGCAGTCACGAAAGCTTTAAATCGAAAAAAAACATACTCTGATAATATATGCATTGTCCTTGAAACTGATTGGTCCACACCAGAGACAGCTTTCTTTTGAGCCTCGTCTCAAAACGGTGTTAGACCAGAGGACGCCAAAAGGCGTGAATTTGTATGGTTTAAGATCCCTCCGCCACCCGACACTGCCAAACAAATGCATTGCTACCTGTACGTGCGTGCGCCACTCTCTTTCCTAATTAACCCCTATTTACCCCTGCCACCATCTCTCTTCATTCCCCTATATATCCCTCACAACCGTCCCTTCTCATTTCCCCTATATATCCCTCACCACCGTCTTTCCTCATTTCCCCTATATATCCCTGCCACTATCTCTCATTTCCCCTATATATCCCTGCCACTATCTCTCATTTCCCCTATACATCTTTACCACCATCTCTACTCATTTCCCCTATATATCCCTCACCACCATCCCTCATTTCCCCTATACATCTTCACCACCATCCCTCCTCATTTCCCCTATATATCCCTGCCACATCCCTACTCATTTCCCCTATATATCCCTGCCTTATTGACCCCCTATTGACCTCCCCCCCTCCTCCCCCCCCACATCGTCAACCCGCAGAGTCGCGCGTGCTGCTGGGCTCCATCAAGCGCATGGAGCTCATCCGCCTGGTGGGCGACCAGCTGAGCTCGGAGCGCCGGCTGGAGCACCTGCGGCGTCGGCTGCTGGCGGAGCACGCGAGCGGCGAGGAGCAGCACCACGACTACCTGCACGAGGTCCTCTACCCTTGCCCGTCCAAGCGAGGACGTCCGTCGCGGAGGCGGAGCGATGTAATCGGCTCGCACGCTCGTGCACGCGCGTGCGTGACGGTGCCCGTGCGGATTTTGTTGTTGTTGTTGTTGTTTTTGAGTTGTGCGCCTTACCTGGTGTTGCCAGATAAAAGGGTAAAAAAAACAATTATCATATTTTGCTACTGGCAAATGAGGTACCAATGGTGTAAATGCTTACCCCGAGCTCTCATACTCTGATGGTGCATTGTCTTTGAGTTGTGCGTCTTTTGGCGTCATCTGGTCCAACACCAATGGAGACTAGGCTCTAAGAAAAGCTGTCTCGGGTGTGGACCAATCAACTTCAAGGACAGTGCATATCATTATCAACATCAGAGTTCTTTATTTTTGTTTGCATTTTGACTGCTTGTGTTGTGGTTATTCCAAACATGATGCCTTGTATAAAGGTGTCAGTTTTTGTACCAGTTTAAAGGGTAAAAACCTACTACTATATTTTGCCACTGGTAAAGGAGATGTCTCATAGTGTAAATGTTTACCCCGAGCTCTCATACTCTGATGGTGCATTGTCTTTGAGTTGTGCGCCTTTTGGCGTCATCTGGTCCAACACCAATGGAGACTAGGCTCTAAGAAAAGCTGTCTCGGGTGTGGACCAATCAACTTCAAGGACAGTGCGTATCATTATCATCATCAGAGTTGTTTCTTTTAACTTCTTGGTTCTTTCGGTAAAGTCACGTAGAAGGGAGATAATAAAATAATAAAAATAAAACATAATAAAATTGTATTAAAATTGTATTATTTTATTATGTTTTATTTATAAAATTGTATTCAAATTGTATTATTTTATTATGTTTTATTTTTATTATTTTATTATCTCCCTTCTACGTGACTTTACCGAAAGAACCAAGGAGATGAATCCCTGCAGTCACGAAAGCTTTAAATCGAAATTTGTTTTTTTGTTTGCATTTTGACTGCTTGTGTTGTGGTTATTGCAAACATGATGCCTTGTATAAAGGTGTCAGTTTTTGTACCAGTTGAAAGGGTAAAAACCTATAACTACCGTTGTTGTTTTGTTTCCGTGTTCACCGCGAGTGCCGTGTGTGCGGTTAATGCAGTGACAGGATTCCTCGCAAAACGTTTCTGTTTGGTGTTTTAGCACCGTGATACAACTACAACTGTTTTATTGCCAGAAAGGGTGAAACATATTCGTATATGTTGATACTTGCAAGAAAGGTCCCATAGTTGTTGTTGTTGTTGTCATCGTTGATGTTGTTGTGTTTGTGTACTATTTAATGCCTCGACACAGAGGCGTGGTTTCTCTGTGTGCCTATGTTTTGTCTCTCTCTCTATGTATCTTTGTGATATCTGTCTGCTTATATGTCTGTCTATATGTCTCTGGTTCTGTGTTTTAGCTCTCTCTCAAATTTAGCATTCTCAAGAAAAACGTAATCAACTAGGTAGGGTGTTGACTGTTATGTTATCCGACTCTCTGTTGTATTACATTACATTTCTAAGTATACTAGATTTGTGTTTCTATTTCAGTTATACCTGATGATGATTGCTTGTGTTGCAATCGAAACGTCGTATGCTAGTATTTAATTTATTATTTTATCTTTATACGTGACTTTACCGAAAGAACCAAAGAGTAATTCCGGCAGTCACAAAAGCTCCAAATTAAGTTTGTGTACTGAGTTGGGGAGCGGCGGCGTAGTGGTGAGCGCTGATGCGTTTAAACAGCTTGTGACGTGTATGTAGTGCATGCAAATGTGCTAAAAATGTTACGTGAAAGAAAACATTTTGATCTTATAACTCCGCTGATGCTCTACCGCTCTGCTGCTACGGCACGCTCTGGCTTAACGTCCGCGTGGAAAATGCGAATAAAAAAAAAATCAAAATACTTAGTACCGCCATCAGAAAGAGTTTATGACACTCAATCTGGCGATAAAGGTCAACTTGGCGAGGTGGTTTAGCTGTAGAGCAAGTGGCTCACAAGCAAAAGGTTGTGAGTTCAAATCCTGGTTGGTGGTTGGGAGGTTGACTCAGCCCATCATCGATAAAAAAAAAACGAGTATCAGTTTGTGGGGAAGTCAACAGTGATTTTCTTATGGATAGACTCAACTCCGCCATATGATCGAGGAGTTGCCAGCACTGGCTCAGCGCTGTAAACGGGATCTGAGGACTGCCTCGATGCTCACTTGAGCAGGACATCAACTTGACCATTATCATTATTGTCGTTATAAATGTAAATCCTGTGCCCAAATCTGCTGGAGAAAATGTGGTAAAATTGAAACAATAATATTTTGAATACTAAATCTTGCATTCGCTCTTTCTTCCTGCAGCTTTTGCCTGGCAAAAGTAGGATGCCAAGGTACACGTTGGAAGGTAAGGCAGTCATTGACATCGTCTGATGTGTAGTGTGCGTGTGTGTACACATCAACACTCGGGAGACAGGGGAAGCTATACCAGCACTTGGTAAACCGTGCCGGCCTTAATAGGAAGCCACTGGAGCTATGCACTTTTACATCTCGATTGAAAACTAATTTATGTAGAACTGCTACTTGTGTTTAGTTTGTTGTCCTTCCCATGCCTCCGATTAGCATTCCGATTAGCACGGTTGACAACGTACTGCGTAAAGTAATGTCAACACACATACATACAAATCAACACAGGTCAATCTATTTAAGACCGGAAGCAACAGGAAAGCTTCACCATTCTTGCCCGATGAAGCTGATTGTAATTATCAGTGAAACGTCGTACTACTCAAATTTTAAAATGCTGTTGATTCTCTCTTCAACACACCGGTGGGCTAAAGAAGTGAATTATTTTGTCCTTTGAAAAACGTGACACATGTTTTACTGTTTGGCCGTGTCGGGTGGTGGAGGGTTACGACACATTTATAAATAACGCGATCTGACCCTAAAACCTTTATTATGAGATCCTGGGTTTGAATTCTGTGATTAAATCGGGTTCTCAGGCACAATGAGCAGATGGTCTCAAGTGCAGTCACTGATCACTGCACTTGATTGGGCCGATTTATAGTTGGGGGAAATTTTTTAATATCAGTTTGACCGTCCTGCAATGCACATTGGTCGCAGTGGGAGTGTGGACCAGAGGTCACTTGAAGGAGTTTCAGAAGTAGTTCTGTGGTATCCACTTCAAACATCGGGGGGGGGGGGGGCGATTGCACTGATTTACGATATATCCGCACGGATTATATTTATCAAAATTTCGGGGGAGGGGAAGACGAAACATTCTAAACTAATCAAATAATCAATTGTAATTGATTAATCGAATATAGTTTATTTTTATATAGAGCATCTTCACTCAAGGCGCTTGACATAGCTGACAAAGCGGTGACAGAATGGAATTATTTCGATGGCAGGGGTGTACAAGGATTGAGTGATGAAGGGTACTTATGGATCACCAAAGGGTAGGGGAGGGATGCGAATGAGTGGAGGGGCGAGGGGAGAGAAGAGGAAGAGAATGGGCAATAGAGAAGAGGTGAGGCTTTAAGAGATGAATGGAAGGAGGTTAAGGAAAGGGACTGCTTAATGTACAGTGTCAGTGTTGAGTCTGTGGTGCAGTGGTGAGTCTATGGTGCAGTGTTGAGTCTGTGGTGCAGTGTTGAGTCTATGGTGCAGTGTTGAGTCTGTGGTGCAGTGTTGAGTCTATGGGCAGTGTTGAGTCTATGGTGCAGTGTTGAGTCTGTGGTGCAGTGTTGAGTCTATGGTGCAGTGTTGAGTCTATGGGCAGTGCTGAGTCTGTGGTGCAGTGTTGAGTCTATGGTGCAGTGTTGAGTCTATGGTGCAGTGTTGAGTCTGTGGTGCAGTGTTTAGTTTATGGTGCAGTGTTGAGTCTATGGGCAATTTTTCGTCTATAGTGCAGTGTTGAGTCTATGGGCAGTGCTGAGTCTGTGGTGCAGTGTTGAGTCTATGGTGCAGTGTTGAGTCTATGGGCAGTGCTGCTCAATGTACAAGAGAAGTTTATTCCGGTGGAGGAGTGCAAGGACTGAGAGAGACATAGAGAAGATTGGGAATGAAGAGGACGAGAGGGGGCATGGAAGGAAATGAGAGAGGCGAGATGATCGAATGATTGTTACTTTTCGAGAGCCACACGCAGTGATTCACTCACCCGGTCGTATGGAACGCGATCGGCCGTGAAATCATCACCGCTGTACGTTTCCTTGCAGACAGGAGTGGCTCAAAGAAGAGGTCAATGGTTCTCCTCAGTGGCGAGGACATCATTCCAAGGCCCAGCGACCAGGTGAACATCCACCCGGCCACTCACTCGCATCATCCCAAACGTGCACTGTTAAAATGGCGAAGTCTTCATTGGTTAAGTGTGTGACTGCTTAAGTGTGTGGCTTCGTAATCCGGTCAAGTGTTGTTTTTTGTAATGTAACTCTGTTTGTCTTTTTCAGTTTGAATCGAAGAAAGTGAAACTCCTATTGGGGGTAAGAACCAAAATTATATGCTTGACCTTCATAAGAGCTTAATATTCATGATATGCATTACTTTATCCCAATAATTATAATAGCATTGTTCAGCGGATGGCCCACAGGACCTGTTTAAATATCACTCACGACTGATGTTGGTTGTGGCCAGGAATCAAAAGGCATGCCACTGGGTTCAAAACACGGTGTACTAACCACTGCACCACCACTCACCCCATTAATCATTATTATTTATTTAGTTTATCCAAAAAGCCTAATTGAGTTTCAAGACTATTTCGCGTGACAACGCGATTGCATTAACAGTAAATGATTTGAGCGTTAAAAAGTTCTCATTTTGAATTCATCCACAGGATGGGCACGCTATCTTGGAAAGCATGACAGATGAGGAGGTAAGACGGATCATTAGTGGCTGCCCCAGCAATGCTGCACAGATTCGTGCTGTGTTCTACTCTACTCGGCGGTTATCACAACGGCAGCCTGCCTTCCCTTAATGTGCACTAAAGGCAAAGATCCTCCGTATAGCCTGAACAGACTTTTGGGGCAAGTTCTGTTTGCGAGCGCTTATGAAGGCTCGGCACGGCACACGAAGTGGTGGGTGGCCAGCACCACGCCCGACCGCCTTTGTCTCCCCAGTGGCGATGTTCACGACACATACTTCATCGCACTGGTCAGTGTGGGGTTGTGGATGGTGGGTTTCAGGACCGGTTTAGGTATCGCTCGCCACTGACGAAATACGCGGCTGGGAGTCGGACCCAGATTGTAGGGTTTGTAGCGTAGCACACTGACCACTGCGACACCCCACACTAGCCGTTACATAAAACATTGATTTAAAAAAAATGTGAATTAAATGGAAATCGAATAGGATGCTGGAAATAATACATTCACGATGACCATTGGGGAACAAAACATTGCACACACGTTTAAGAAACTCGATTGTAAATTTAAACGAGAGTTAAAATGTGTGATGGTAAAAATAATGACGATCGCAGACTCCTAAATTGACTTGGGGGAAGGGTCAGGGTTAGAAAGCCTTAGGCCCAGGAGTTGAGTTTTTTTTAGTTTATAAAATGAGATGTTAATTGGTGAGATGTTAACTACCTCGCCTGGTATACAGGCTGGTCGTGGGTTCGATCCCGACCCTGACACCTGCTGTATATTTGGAGTTTGTATGTTCTCTCCGTGGTCGCGTGTATTATTCTCCGGGTCCTCCTGTTTTTACCTCCACATTTATAATCAACACGCATTTAGAGTATTCGGCTGCTATTCATTTCCACATTACAAGCAACTTCGTTGAGTTACGTAGCTCAGCGTGCCTTACCTGGTAAAATATTTCTGTTTTTTTATTTGAATACTTTTAAAACGAGCATCGCTTCACCCTCGTGGCCGCTGACACTGACACCCCCCCCCCCCCCCCCCAACGTGCGCTGCCCCACAGATCGAAGAGTGGGAACGGCAGCAGCTGGAGCAGGTCATCTGTCTCGACGGGGTCACCATAAACCCCGCTCCGTACCGGATCATCCAGACCGCCTCCTTACACAAGGTGCGTCCCCAATCAGGGCCAGGCAGCGCGTTCTTCTCGTGCCGCAGAGAAGGCACCGCGGATATCGTCGCAGGAATATAACAAAGATTAAATATATAATGGGGTCCTAAACGTCGCCTGTTATATAGGTAAGTAGTCGTTACTGGTCCACCATAATCCGCACAAACCTTGGCAGATGCGGATACCTGATGCACAAATGTGGAAATTGAAATGTCTCCGGTGTGCGGCTGTGGTCATCCAGAAGAGACTGTATAACATGTAATGACGCAATGCCCCCATCCACAAATACGCAGGAGACATCACAGCGATACACTCTGCTGCTCCTGACGAGGTTATCCGGGCTTGACCACGTTGAATATACATTTTTCAGTTCTTGCTCTGCGTCTACATCAGCCGTACGACAAGAAGAGCAGACCGGCGAATGTGTCCGTGGGGGTTTTTGTTTTTTTGGTTTGTAGCAATAGAAGCGATGTTGTACCGGTGTCCATTTGGACCGGTGTCACAACGGTGGCAGCGATTCGCCGACGCTGCGTTCCTCTCCTTGCAGGTGTACGACCTCTTCAATCTGCTGGGCCTGAGGATCTGCTACGTGACGGCACTCGGAAAACTGGTGGGCGTTGTGTCCCTGAAGGAGGTAAGCTGCACCTTCGTTTCGATTTAAAGATTTCGTGACTGCAGGGATTCATATTCTTGGTTCTTTCGATAAAGTCACGTAGAAGGGAAATAATGAAATATTTTTTTATAAAATATTAATAAAATTAATATTTAATAAGAAAAAAATTTTTGAAAATATTCATAAAATTCATATTTTATAATAGAATATTTTTTTTTTATTTCCCTTCTACGTGACTTTACCGAAAGAACCAAGAATATGTACCTTTGTCTTTGTCTGAACAGCTCCCATCGCCGATCCTCGTGGTAGCAGGATCATTTCGGTCGTCTAGTCCAGGAGCGGTTGTCTTGGGGTCAACGAGATGCGCTACGAAACCCAGCGACCGATAACCAAACCGGTCCTGGGCCTTCCCGAGTTTGACACAGCCTCAAATGAGCACCTGGTGTGGTGTGTAAACATTGGCACTGGGGACACGAAGGCGGCTGGGCACGGCGCTGGATACCCACCCCCCCTTGCGCGCAGTGCCAGCCTTCATAGGTGCTCGCTAACGGCACTTGCCCCAACAGTCTGATGAGGCTATATGGGGGGGGGGGGGTCTTTGTCTTTGTGTTCCTTTCATTGACCAGGAATTCCTCAAGGCTCTCTTTGTCTCATTTAGGACGTTGCTCAATGTTGTTCCTACTGTCGCTCTATGGAAGGTCACTTCTCCTCCTCTGCTGCTGCTGACGTCTAGAATTCCTTGGGGGTTTGTGCGGGTCCTTAACGAGTATCGTCCAATGTAAAAACCTTGGACGTCAGCCTGTGTCATCCTGCACAAACGATCATTGCCTTTGACGTTTGAAGTTTCAAACGTTCTGTTCGTTGGCGTCCGCCTGTAATTCTCCAATGCAGGGCAAAGGGACTCCACCATTCCCTTTCCCCAGTCGTCCCTCTCCAGTCGTAGATTTCTTCTCGCTGCCATCGTCTCTTCTGCCAACCCTCCGCTTCTCTTCCCGTTCCCTCTCGGATCTCCACTCCGCCGTTCGCTTTGCGTCTCATCTCTCGTCAGGTGTGCTCACGACGCATGCCGCCCAGACACGGGTTCCACTCCACGTTTGCTGAAACGTCTTTCCTCCACTGTCGTCCCTCGCCCTGTGCAGCTGAAGCAGGCCGTGGGGGCGACGGTGAAGGGGAACTTCGTGAGGACTGTGCGGCGGAACAGCAAGGTGGACCAACCGCCGGCTCAGATGCCCGGCGCGGACTCGTCGGGGCCAGGCGGAGCGTCGCAGGACGGCGATGACATCTCTCCGGAGCCGGAAACGCGACACCGAAGAGTCTCCTTCCAGGGCTCGGCGGTGTAGGCGGTTGTGTCCGACGACGGTTTTTGCACCGGCTGACGACGCGACGGGTTCGCTTGGTAGGAACGACGCGAGCTGTGGGAGTTCCCTGCTGATGCTGCGGGGGGGGCACCCATCTGGCCGAGTCCGTAAACACTTTGACGCCGGCAAGGGAGCGGTTCGCCATCGGGCAGTCTAAGCTTCTTTCATTCTTCCCGTAGCTGCCAATGAACGATGGATAGACGCTCGTCGATCTATCGATGCTCAGTGGTGCTGCTTGGTGCAACAGTCGGTGAAGTTGGGGATGGCAGGGGGTGAGGCGGGGCGGGGGGGAGAATCGCCTTGCAAGTTTTTTGTTTTTCGTTTGCGAGATAGCGTAGGTTCGTAGGCGGGCGAGCGCAAAGTTGCACCTGCAACTATATTTCTGGGCTACGTTGCACGCAAGCATCCTGCAGCCCAGTCCAATTTATAAGCTAGGGGTGAGTATAGTTTGAGGAGGTCGTGCCGTCCTGCTAAATTGTTCGCCCACACCAAGCAGTCCAGGTCACTTAGGAGCAGACAGTGATTGAAAAATAGTTTTTACACGTCTGTGTAACCATTCCATTTACATCCATTGTGTGTTGTTGTTGAGCATTCAGTCGAATAATTCAACCTTCATTCTTCTGTCCGCAATAAAAAAATGTAACGTTTAGTCCATCAGCCGACGGTTTTGGAATGGTGGCGCAGCGGTTAGCGCTCTGTGCTATGAACCTCGGTGGACCCAAGTTGGATTTCTGGCCTCGGCTGACATTCAACAAATGGGCTCTACACTTCCATCACCAACCTGCACTCTAGCCGCGTGGTGAAGTATGGTGAAACAACCCTCATGACTGATAGAGTGTGGGAAAGCCTTCATCCAGCAGTGGATTGAATAAGGGCTGCGAATTGTTACAGATTTTTTTTGGTATTATAATAATTATTAATCAGTCTATGGGCTTTCTAAACCATTATGAATCCAGGTGAGGCCCAAAAAGTTCAAAACCTGTCCACAGTGGATCACCGCGGCAGCACTTGGAGAAATCTCCCATCACCTCCTCTCTCCCCCCCTACTGCCGAAGCCTATATAACCTCGTCCCACGGCAGATCTCTCCACCTGATGACGATTGCTTGTGTTGCGATCGAAACGTCGTGATCTATTATTTTTCTACCTACGTGACTTTACCAAAAGAACCAAAGAGTATGGATTCCTGCAGCCACAAAAGCTTCAAATCTAGACTGTCCACAGTTTGCTTGTTGAATCACATGCTGCTGGACAATGTTGGTCTGCAAAGCACCGATAGGTCGGTGGACTAACAGACATGTCACGTTCATGCCGAGCGACAAACGGGCTGTCCGGCAGTTGCGCCGCATTTACATCCTTCACAAATCCACGTCGTAGTGTCGTTAAGCAACGAGCATTCACTCAGATCGGTGGCGTGACTCAGCATGGGGGCACAGGATGCCTTGACCCGCCCCCTGGTGTCCAAAGCTAAGAGTTGGGCCCTCCCCCCCCCCCGACAGCCACCGTGAGATAACTTTTCGACAAAAGTGTAAAAGAATATGGAGCGCCCCTTACAGCGTTAAATGTTCGAGACCGTGAGCCTAACGACGATGTGATCGGGAGAGAGGAGCCGCGATAATTAATAGCCAAAGTTGCGACCGTGCGAGACAAATCAAATATTAGGGGGCCCACTTGACCGAGTGCCGCTCCCCTCAGCTGATAATGTCGTCACTACGCCGCTGGTTCAGAAGCTGTCTCGCCAAATGGGACTCCACGCCTCGCTGAGCAGGTCTAAGTGTCCGCCGGTGACACGGGGCGCGATTAAGGGCACGCGTCGTGACGTCCGCCTAAAACACGCGTTTGGGTTTCGTCCTCTGCTCTGTTGCGGTGGGTTTTTTTTTAGGGGAAGCTGATGTCACCGTTGTGTTGTGTAAACGACGTGAGCAAAGGAAGGGATCATGTTGCATCTGTCGTACTTTAATATATATAAATATATATGCCCGCGCTCGAAGGGTGAGTTAAGTGACCCAATACTTACTCGGAAAAGGGTAGGGGGGGTCAGGGGGCAGGGGGGGAGGGGGGCAGGTGAGGAGGGGGTCAGGAGGAGGAGGTGGGGCAGGGAGGGAGGGGGGGTCTGATTGTGATTGATGCAAATGAGGTAGCATCGGGGATTGAATTCGCCGTGCAAATTTTGTAAAAACGTCGGTGTACATAGCGCTCTCTCTCTCTCGGATACGCGATGAAGTTTTTGCTGTGCCAATCCTAATCACGTATAAATGTTTCCCCCCCCATGTTACACAATGGCATGATTGTGGTTGCTAAACGTTTTCCTTGTGAAGGAGTTTGTAGTTATGTCTGTCACGATCATCAACCCTGATCTAAATTGTGTGACCATTTTTCCACCTATCATTTCCTCCCGATTAAGTATAGGATTCACTTTACGATTCTTATCCTCACGTCCAAGGCCTTGAATGCGCTGGCTCCTAAATTCCAGACCGATCTGCTCAAGTTGGTTTTATTCGACCGCAAAAACAATTTGATCTGCTGATTCTGGTCCACTACTCATTCTTCCAAAGGCCAGACTTTGTTACTCTACGGGATACGGAGCTTTCTTTGCAGCCAGGCTTCACCACTGTGGAATTCCCTTCCTCGTTGGTGAATTGGGGAGCCTGAGTCTGACACTTTTTCTTTTGAAGGGGCAATTTTAAGCAAGATAAATGTTTGAAAGCTTCTTTCGTTTTTACCGGGTGAGAACTCAAGAGACCGGGATAGTCTCGCTTGCAAGAGTCACCTGGGGCATTGGTCTGCCAGTCGGGGTGGCATGATGATGACTATGTGTTTAATCCCAAATGAGTAATTTGCGGTGTCATTTTCGAATTTGGAAAATAATGTGTTGACCACCCACCCCTCGTGTGCAGTGCCGGCCTTCATAGGTGCTCGCTAAAAGCACTTGCCCCAACAGTTTGTTAAGACTAGATGGGGGATCTTTGTCTTTGTGTATGAATACTGTATATGTCAGTTTAACACATAGGCTTTCGCGACCGATGTTTTGCATGATAAAGTTTTTTGTCGTTAACCTGCCAGCACCCGACACAGCCAATTAGTAAAGTTTGTCGCGTCAACAAAACGTGCCAATCAGTTACTGCTTCCGCACACCGGTGTGTTGACGAGTAAACCCACAGCATTTACGACTCGAGTTCGACGTTTCGCTGGCGATTTGCCAGAATTGTGAAGAAGTCTTCCGGTCTGAAATGGAGCAGTAAAGGTGATCTCATCACCGTGAGTCTTGCAGGTGTGAAGACCGGATATGTACTGTTGCAGGGGCACTGGGTTGATGATCTTCTTGGTTCTTTCGGTGACTTTACCGAAAGAACCAAGAAGATGAATCCCTGCAGTCACGAAAGCTTTAAATCGAAATGGGTTGACGATGTTTAACCAACTGTTGTAAAAAGAAGAACTCCTTTATTTAACGGACAAAAATCCAGAATTTTAACTTTCGTGACTGCAGGAATTCATATTCTTGGTTCTTTCGGTAAAGTCACGTAAATAAAAAAAAATCTAAAAATAAAAATAAAAGAATAAGAAAAAATAAACATTTTCTCTCCGCCTGATGAAGACCGCTTGTGTTGCGATCGAAACGTCGTGGGTTTTTTTATTTTATTATTTAAAATGTATGATTTTTATTTTATTATTTTTATTTCATCTTTTTATTTTTTGGTTTTCTATTTACGTGACTTTACCCAAAGAACCAAGAAAATGTACTAAAATCGGATCCTGTTAAACTCCTTTAGTTTCATGTAAAACAAAAATCGGAGGTGGTGGTGGTGGGGGGGGGGTGTTTTGTGTAAAGGCAGCTTGCATGTATAGAGTCATCACATCGACGCCGCGTCGTGCTTGTGTGGCAACGCGAGAGCACATTCTGGATCAGTGTCTCTCTCTCTTATTTCGTATGGCAAGGTGACATTCGCGACGTCACGTGCAGTACGTGTGTGCGTGCGTGCGTGTGGATATGGAGGTTATTCAGCCATCCAGTAGCCGCTGCTGGAGGCTTGCTTGATGTCGGGGGGATATTGCCCGCAAGTCAGCGGGGCAGACAGCGTTGGGTTGGTGACCCTACAGTCACATTGCGGATCGTTCGGTGGCAGTAGATTCGGTTTAGGAGTTGAATTATGTGTTTGTGTGTGTGTATACCGTATACACGTATAGTATGTAGCCTTTATAGCAGACCTGGGTCAATTACATTTGTGATTTGTGTGATTCGTAATGGTCGCAATCGCAATGTGATTTCAACTAACGGTACTGCTATAACCGTAATTATAAGTGACCCCAGGTTTCCTGTACAGATCTTGTTCTAATACGGGGAAAGTGTGAATCACAAGGAGTTTGATTGTGGCGATGTTATCGGCTTTGGCGAAAGATTTCCCGCACGTCTCTTCCTCTGTGTGCCGGTTTCATAAATGGTGTCTGCAATTTTGACTTGAGCAACGTTACTTTGCACAGATTGTTTTACGTCGACAGCGACAACCGGAGAGAGTAAGCGTGCTTCCGTATCGACGTATTCCTTTGTTTCGCTGCTAAAACAAAACATGTGTAATATTTTAACTGACACTTTAAACACAGCAATAAATGTCACATTTGTTATAATTCACTCGGCTATGGGGCAATGGTGGCTGGAGAGTGCACGTACTTTATTTACGATTGCCAGTCGTGAAGCCGCGCGTCTGTTAATGTAGCGTCCCAGATTGTGTTCGTTCTGAAGCCTTGGCTTCAACCCCCTCTCTGCTCGAGTTGTTCACAGTAGCTGTGGCCACGTAGCCAATGCCTATAGTAGAAAACAGCTTTGCTTGAACGTTGCCACCGAGTGCAATGCATGGATGATGCTTGATGTGTTAAAGGGAATGAAGGCAATAGTCACGTGTGCGTCGGTTTGTGTAACAATCTACTTGGATAATTGTGTGTTGTAAATACGCGAATTCGTCACGAAGAATTATATATTTTACTGTGTGGTTTTACGAATCTTGGTATTGCTATACTGGAGTTGTGTTTGAACGTGTGACATGATGCAAAACAAACCCACAATCCCAAATATATGTTCTTCCCTGTAGTCGGTCCATCCTGTACATGATCATTCCTCCTTCGTATCCGTCACCTTATTAACCGCGACTCCTATAACCCGCGGGAGCCAGGCAGTTCCGCGAAAACTCCCATTATCAGCGGCCCTATTCGTCCCAATTATCCGCTAAAAAATGTTGTCCTGCGGATACGTGAGTTACCTTTAC